TGCACGCTGGGCACAGCACAGCAGGGGGTCTGAACCAATCCTGGGAGAAAAGAATTAGAATTTTTGTCTAGTATTTTACAGCATAAATTTAGAGTTAACAAATGTGGCGGCCTTTAAAGGTCTTCACGTGGCTGTGTGTGTCCTTGTGTTTGGGGGCAGCCTTAGTGCCAGGGACTCCCCTTTCCTTGAGTAAACCTGGGTCAAGTTCAGGAAGTTTTTTGTTTTTGAAGCAGAGTAAAAGTTTTATTTCAAGTTACGCACTTCAAGAGAGAAAAAGTGCAGGTGACCTCAGAGAGGAGAGGCACCTCCTGAAAAGTTGAGAAAAAAGTTTTATTTAAGGCAAAAAGGTGCACACTGGGAGAAAGGGGCGTGTGGGCTACATCAGAGAAAAGGCGTGCTGAAAGATTGGGAAAGTTTCATTTAAGGCTACCCACTTAGAAAGTGAGGATGACCTCAGAGAGTGTAAGCTGCAAGGTTGGGGATCCCCCCATTCCCCCTTTTAAGGATTTTTTTCAGGAAGGTGACAAAGGGTTAGGGGTGTGGGCTTGTTAAGTGGTCGCAAGATGTTTATCTTTGATGAGAGACCTTACACAGTCTCTTTTATTATCAGTCCTCCAGATAATTCTGCAAAATTAGCTTAACACAAGAAATTTACTGATCTGGTTCCTCCAGGATAGCAGTTTCTCTCTGGGAACCTGTCAGTCTCAGACCACCTGCCCTGCCCCCAAGTTGGGATGAGTTATTGTCTGTTAATTTCAGGAAGTTTTAATAGTTTAAAACCCTCCCAAATACATACACAAAAAACTCAACACCTCTTCATTAGATTTCTTTGACCTGGACACTCACTGGGCACTTCATAATGTTATTGGAAAAATGGCCTCTATAGAAACTTCTTAAGCTTTCAACTCAGGGAATATGCAATGGTTGATTTTATGCATCAGCTTGGCTAGGCCATAGCACCCAGTTGTTCAATTGAACACTAAGTGTTGCTGTGTAGGTGTCTTGTAGATGTGGTTAGGTTAACATCTACAGTCAGTTGACTTTAAGTACAGTAGATGACCCTGGATAACACGGGTGAGCCTTGCCTAATCAGTTGAAGGAGAAAAGGAGAAAAGGAAATACGGTGGTTTTCCTAAGAAGGAAGTATCAGTTCCTGGCCAAGAGTTTCCAGCCTGCTGATCTGCCCTACAGATTTCATATTTGCCTAGCCAGCCCCATGATCATGAGAGCCGAATGTCTTGAAATAAACCTCTTAACACACACACATACATTCGCAAAGACATATATTCTACTGGTTCTGTTTCTTTGACAGAACTCTGATAGAGGAACTTAAATGAATCAGGTGAGTCTGCAGTTAGTTAGCTCCAGCCTTGGTCGAATCCTGGACTCACTACTTATTTATTTACTACCTGTGTGATCTTGCACAGCTTGCTTTATTTCTTGGAGCATTAGTGTGTCCTTCATTAAATGAGGAGTAAGAGCAGATCTTACTTACCTCCTAAGGTTACTATGTAGATGAAATTAAGAGGGGGCCAGGAAATGAATATTGTAGTAATAGCTGACACTGACATGGCCCTACTATGTGCCAAGGTGTATTATCTCATTTAATCCTTGCAGAAACCTTATGAGGTGGGACTAGTGTTACCTGAATTTTACAGGTGGGGAAATTGAGACTCTTAGAGGTCCCGTGACATTCCTGAGGTCATCCAGTGTGTAAAAGGCTGAAGTGTAAAGTGTTTAGTACTCTGTTTATGGGAAGCACTCAGCTTATGTCATATGTGATTCACATGATGACAAAGCCTTAATTTAAAAAAAAATGATCACCCCTGTTTGCAACTCTTTTTCTCTACATCAAAAAGACCTTCAAAAGCACTCCAGCCACAATCCCACCCTGGGTGGAACACCCATGCGAAATTAAAATCTATGTTCACATACAAGCCCATGAGCAAATATTTATCAATTCTCTATTCGTGATTACCAACAGCCATGAAAACATAAATGTCCTTCAGTGAGTGAATTTGGGTAATCGAACTGGGACCCAGCCATGTGATGGAGCACAGTTTAGCCATAAAAATGGATCCAGCTACTAATACAGGAAATAATGCAGAGAAAACCTCAAGTGCACTATTAGTGAAAGAAAACAAAAGGCTGCATGAGTCTGTACTGTGTGAGTCCATTTTATAGGGCCTCCTGGAAAAGGCAGAAGTATTGGGGCAGAAAGCAGATCCGTGGTTGGCAGGGGCTGAGACCAGAAGTTTTGGGGATGATGGACATGATCTCCATCTTAACCACGGTGATTGTACAACTGTATATATTCAGAACTGTATGCTAAAAGGGTGAATTTTACTGTATGTAAATTATATCAATAAAAAGAAAAAAACACATACAATGGACTGAAAAAAAAAAAAAGTTTGAGACAAGATAGGACTTGGGAAATGTCTGTCTGGGGCTCCTGACATAGCAGAAAGTGGCTAACCAGCCCTGGCTTGTTGGTGCTATGCTACACCTTCCCTCACACAGCTCAGAACTGGCTCTATTACATACTCCAAAACAAGCTAAGCCGGGTTTCTGGAAAAATCAAGATCCTACCTTACCTATGTGTGGGAAATACAGGAGGAGCTTGAGAAATGGACAAATACACCAGAACTTGAATGTCCAAATGACCACAAGTTCTGCCAAATCTCAGGCCCTGCTCATTCTTCAGTGCTGCCACAGAGCAAGAGCTTTCTGGAATTTTCCCTTTGGAAACTGCATTAAGGGGCTTGTTATATTGGCTCAGCAAACACCAAATGTATCTACTTGTCATTGTTAGGAATCAGCCACTGTGCTGGGGATGCTGAGGAGGACAAGCAGGATCTAGCTGTCCCTATTGACAAGCACAGTCAGAGCTGTGGTATCATGTCATGAATGGCTTGAACAAAGTGACCAGTCTTTATTCCGAGGGTGGATTTGGTTTCTGCTGTCTACTTATTGGAAGCTAGAGGAGGCCAATAAGGGGTCCTTGCACCCACAGTAATCATAAAAAAGAGGAACTCCCTTTTCCAGGCTGGATCCTGCCTTTCTGTGAACTTGTAGGGTGGAAGGGGGGTTGGAAATTATTTGTATGCCCGTTGGTATTCACCATAGTAGGTTCACAAAATTATTTGGTGCCTGTTGAGTAGTGTGGGGCTCAGGAAAACAGTCTTGAAGGGGAAATCCTGGAATATTCTGAGCCTGTAGCCATGTATGTGGAATCTCTCCAGACAGGATATCTATATCTATTTGGATACCACATGCCTTACTTAGCTGGAAAACAGCATTATGAAAGATACTCCTACTCAGACCACATTGGAGAAACTGGATATTAGCAGAACTGCCTAGCAAAACGTGGCTAGAATTTTAAGGGTTCAATCCTGCCCCCTCAGTGCCTTCAAGTAACTCAACTTGGTAGGATTTTAACTTGTGGCCTCAGAGTGATTACTCCCCCTGTCGCCCTCAATGAGGGCAGGCATTGAGGCCTGTCCAGGCACAAAGGGTCTCACGATACTGTGAGCCCCACAATTGCCCAAAGAAAAAGATCTGTGCTTTTGAAAGCACAGTTATAAAGCACCTTTATGTTTTCATCTGTTTTGCCCAGATAGGGCCTGGTGAAAAAGGCCACAGCTTTGGCTTTCTTTACTCAGAGACAGGGGTCCCTAGAAGCTGTAGCGTCAGAAGTTTCTGGAACGTAACCTGGATGACTAGTGTTAAGCATTGACTCATGCTTACCCCACCCTGTTCCCCTATGAATCAGAGATCTACCTTGAGGATTTCTCACCATGTCCCTGATGTCAGGGCCTGTGAGTTCCGCAAAGTTCAACAGCTGATGAAGGGTCAGGGGGCAGAGTCTGGAACCAGGAGAAAGGACAGAATTTGAGGGAAGGTGCCAGGTGCTGCCCACTCTTTACCCAGTTCTGAAGTCATGAGTGTGCGCATGAGTCTGTGTGTGTGTCTGTGTATGTGAGGTGGCACCAAGCCTCTCCAGTCTGCTCATGACCACCAAGAGGGGAAAAGCATAGCGTGACCCCATATCAGCACTGAGAAATACAGCCAGGGGGAGAGTCACAACTGCTAGCCACAAACGCAAGCTGTGTCTGTGGTTTTAAATATTCTAATAGGCACATTAAAAAAGTAAAAAGAAACAGGGAAACAATTTTAATGTTTTAAAATCCAATATACCCAAAATAGTAACATTGCAACGTGTAATCATCAAAAGTTAGTGAGATTTTTAACATTTTCCTTTTCATACTAAGCTTTTGAAATCGGGGTGTTTTACATTAATAGTACCTCTCAATTTGGACCAGGTACATTTCAAGGACTCATTAGTTACATGTGACCAGTGGTGACTGTACTGGACAGCGCAGGTAGACAAATATCGGCACCCACCCATAGGGTCAAGCAAGGCAGGGCAGGGCCTTGCATTGAAGAGGGCAGTGAAGACACCGCCAATGGGGCGAGGGCTCCGGTTGTACGTCGAGGAGTCCCAGGGGGCTTTTCGCCATCTATTTCCCCTTTCCTTCCCGTTCGTTCCCTTGCCCGGGAGCTCTCTCCATCCAGGCGCCCCAGCCCACGGCCCCAGCCCCTAGCCCTCTCCGGTTGCTCCTGGGTACCCCGAGGGCCGCCTACCTCGGAATTCACCCAGCCGCGGCGTCAGCCTAGTGAATGCTGCCCTCCCTGTCACTCAATTTCTTGCTTCCGCCCTCCGCCTCCTGCAACCTTCGCTTCCTGTGGTTTCCACAGCGACACCGCCGGGGGCGGGGGAAGGGGGCGCGGCGCCGAGGCCCCCTTTTGGTTGGTGGATGGACAAGCCCCTTCTTCCTCACCCAGGTTTGACCTCCTCTTCGCCCCTCTGGTAGGTACCGCAAGCTGATTGGCTATCTCCGTGGCGAGAGCGTCTAGTCCTAGCTCAGACCGGCCTCGCGGGGCGGGGGCGTAGGGGAGCCTCGCCCATTGATTGGCTGGGGGGAGGGGCGCTTGCGGCGGGGAAGGGCGGGGCGGACGCGGAGCTGCGGTTAGTCTTGCGCGGCGGTCGCAGGCGCTGAAGGTATCTCTTGCGGTGTGCCGCGCCGGTGGGCAGTCCCGCCGTAGGAGCAGTAGCTGCTGTGTGAGGGAGCCATGAAGCACTATGAGGTAAGAAACGAGGAGACGGACACCGATCGGCCGCCGCAGACCCATTCTTTTTCTTCGCAGGACCACGGGACCAGGGCCCTTCCCTTCTCGTCCATTGCCCCTTTCCTTCTAGTCCCATACCCCGAAGGGGGATCCGGACAGCGCAGGCGCAATGGGTGCTCGTGTCCCGGCTCCACTCGTACATCGCAGTGCGCATGTGCGTGGGAGGTATTTATAATTCTGCAACCCAGGCTGTTCTGGGGGTGCCTTTTCTTGGGGTCTCTGCAGGACCTGGGAATCTTGCAGGTTTCTTGCATCTCCCCATGCAGGATGAGTTGCAGACTTGGGAAGGAGGAGCGAGGGTGCGGGACCCTTGCTTCCGATCCTAGGGTGTCTTGCGCAAACCTTGCACCATGTCGCCGCCCAGGGTTTAGGAAGGGGCTTTGCAGTCAGCCTTCCCTGGCACGATCTTTGTACCCCTTCCTTCTCCCGGGACTTCCCTGAAAAGATTAGGCGGTGAGGGAGAGGTGTAGTTCCAGGGCTGGCTCCCTCCAAGCAGCAAAGCTGATCTTCCTTTCTGCTAATCTAAGAGATCATTTCAATCAACTCCTGCGTGTCACCGAGGAGGAACCTAACGCTCACGGCCAACTCTTGAAGCCCAAGTCTTCTGACTCCTCACTTCAGCCCCCTTTTCCCTTAACATGCTGTTACCTTATGCTCTTCACGACCTAACTGATAATACAATATCAATATTAATTTAATATTTATGGCTGATTTTGAAGTAACGTTAACTAATGATTTGTTAATAAAATTTACAAGAATAACTTAACGAGTGCTTACTTCTGTGCAGGTGAGATTCTGTTACCTTGTTCTCTTATCCTCATGGCTCAATGAGGTAGGAGACTATTATTCTCGTTTTTGTGGCTAAAGAAACAGTCTTAGATCAAATGTCTTGCCCAAAGGCACCCAGCAAGTAAATGCAGAAGAGAGAGAGGAACTCAGGACTCTAGGGTCCTAGTTGTTAGCCACTATGCCATGCTGATTCCCAAATCAAATGAGCTGTAGCAGGTAGAGAGGTTACTTGTGTGTGTGTTTTTTTTCCCTCCCCAATTAAAAAATCTGTGGTGAAACACATAAAATACACCATCTTAACCATTGTTAAGGGTACAGTTCAGTGGCATTAATTACATTCACATTGTTGTGCAACCATCACCAGAACTCTTTGTCTTGCAAAACTAAAATTCTGCCCCATTAAACACTAACTCCCTATCCCCCTTCTGCCCACCCCCTGGTACCCACCATTCTACTTCCTGTCTCTGTGGATTTGATTCCTTTAGGGACCTCACTTAAATGAAAGGAGAGATTTCTTCTTTCTATTCACAAGTTGAATACCACTACCTCTCCCTGTCCCCTTTATTATTTTTGGTAATTTAGCCAGAATCTTTTGAAACCTTTAACCCAGAAGTCCTCAACCATTTTTGACATGGTACCAAGAATGAGGAGCTAGGATTCAGTACCTTCTCATGCCCCATTCAACTTTATAGATTCAAAGTTTATAGATTAAAGGTCTCCTAATATAATTTTTCCCTTCATGCCCTCTATGTAACCCTGGAGAAAAGGCCATGTTCTGTTTCAAAGATGCAGGATGGAAGTGGCATTTTGCACAGTGGAGTTAGTTTCAGTTTTGCTAGTTAGCAGTCAGATAAAGTAGGCCTCTGAGGACTTGTGGTGTGGGCACCTTTGTTCTGGAAGGAAGGTGGGTACAGCCTTGAGGCCCATGGCTTGGCCTGGAGAACATGTTCTATCTTACTGAAGCCTTTTCCCTCCCAGAAGGAAGGGGGAGCTTCAGACCTACTGTTCACAGTGACCTTGGAGACAAAAACTAAATTGTTATTTTGCTGTGTTCTCTGTTATCATTCTCTGCTAACATTTGCCAAGTAGCCACTGAGGTGATAGCTCCAGGGTTTCTGTGTGGGAGGAGCTGTTGTCTTCCAACATAGTTCATGCAATGCAGGTTTTATTGCAGATCAATAAAAATACCAAGGGTGCTTTTGCTCACATTTAACAGAATTTGAGAGAAGGCTTCAATTATCCATGTCAAAGAATATATTTTTATTAGGGACTAAGTCTGTCCTTCTACCTCCAAGTGACCCCTGTCTACTGAGAGGTTAGCCTCCCTCAGATGATTTTTTGTGGCCCCGGGAGACACCTGGGAGATTATGAAGTACAGTTTACAAGTGTTAGAAGTGATGCTCAGAAAGGTACAGGACTGGCGTGGGGGACACAGCCAGTTGAGGGCTGATGTCTGATGTAATGGCAGTTAGGATTCCAGCCGGAGGGGAGATCTGCTGCTGTTTTGATAACAGTGTGCTGTCACTGCCAGTCTCTGGCCTGTGACCTGAAAGGCAGAAGTATCCCTTCAGTCGCCTAATTGAAAAGCAGATAGAACAGGTCACCCTTGGGCCTTGGCTGAAGCCCATTCCTTGGAAGGCCAGAGCAGGCCTTGGGATTGTATTGGGGTCAGAGCAAGGTCATTAAGAGAACTGCTTAGCCTGTTCGCCCCAGGTTACAGGAATTTTTTTATTGCTGTTTTTGCCGTTGCAGGTGAGAGGTGACAGTAATAATCCCAGGAGCAATCGGGAAAACAGCTACTGCATCTTGTAAATAAATGAGCCTGTTAATTAATTCCTGGGAAGAGCAGTCCCTCTCAGCCTGTGAGTCCTGGTCACTGCCCATTGTCTGCAGCAGGGAGATCAGAAAGCCTCGTCCTCCTGGGGTCCCTACTGCCCTCATTTAGGATGTCCCTGCCTCCGCCTCAAAAAAAAAAAAAGCGCGTAGCTCTGGTGGTGCTCATCTTGCAAATAATCCTGGACCAACAGAGTACCTTGCTTCAGGTGAGTTTTAGAATAAGTATGTGAACGTCTGGAAGTAGAATTCTAGTCAAGAGGCCATTGTTTAGAGCCAGAAAACTGGGTAGGAAGGTGAAAATTAAGGACCAAGTAGACTCATGCATGAAGATGTCATAGGTGTATGGGCTTTGGATGGGCCTGGGGCTGAATCCTGGCTCTGCCACTCACTAAATATTGACCCAGGGCAGCTTCCTTAACCTCTCTGAGCTTTTCTGTGGCTGGTCTGTAGGACAAAACCCATTTGATTGTGAAAGCAAAGGCCAGAACTAAAGGCCAGTATGAAATTCCTGGAAATATATCATCCAGGGGTATGCATAAAAGGGGAGAGTCTGCATGTAGCTCTGGTTCATTTATTTTAACTGTTGTATGCAGTTCCATCATATGAAAAAAAAACCCTAGTTTGATTTGCCCAGTCCTTTAATAACTTCTCCAAACATCCTGTTGAGTGGGAAAAAGCAAGCTGCACAAGATGCTATACAGTTAAAAACTGTTCCAAAGGAGACTTACATGTACTGCTTATGGGCGTGTACATACTAAGAGAATAAATTGCAATAAGAGGTCAGAAATGTATGGGAATTACACAGTAGCTAGAGGAACTGGTGCTTGGGAGAGAAGGTGGAATAAGAAGAGGAGCGGGGAAGGCTTCAGATGGTCTGTTTTATTTAAAAAAAAGGAATCTGATGTAAACAGAGCAAATATCTGTTGAACCTGGTTATGTTAAGTATCCTAGAGGCCTGCTGTTTTCTGTCCTCTTTTTTATGAATTCTTGTGTCCTTCTGGAGTAGGTGAGGGATAATTAGTTTTTCTGGCCATTGAGGCCCTGTTGTAATATGTGGGGCTCTTTATCTCTTGCATGTTCCATTTGGTGCCTGTTTGCAGGGAGGTGTTGAGTTCTGTGATGGGAACATCCCTCTGCTTGACCTCTTCATGCTTTCCGGATGCTGCACTGAACGTGCTGACAGTGCTTCTGGGATTGATTGTGCGTTTGCGGGCAGGATGGGACTATGGGTGTGATCTCTTTTGTGGGCTGTCTTTTTGTTGCTGGATGATAATAATAAGTAGGGCCAGGTCACATTCCTCGTGTCCTTCCCCAAACCCAGAGTTGGGTATTCTTCATCCCCCCATTTTGTGGATAAGGAACCTGAGGCCCAGAAAGGTGAAGGAGCTTCCCCAAGGTCCCATGTGTGAACAGGGGTACGTCTCTTCACTTTCCTGTGCCCCAGTTTCCCCATCTGTCAAACATGGACACTAACAGGACCGACACAGGTGTCCTGATCCTGGCCTCATGGGTGAGAACCTGAAGCTCCCAGAATGCAGACCCAGGTCTGACCCCTCGTCTGTACAAGAGCCTGAGCCACCACAGTATAGCGACATCGCAAGCCTGCTGTTATTGAGCCCTGTGAGCATCTGATCAGATGTGGACGAACATTACTTCTACTTTACACATGAGGAAACTGAGGCTCAGAGAAGTAAATTAAGTTGTTCAAGGTCAGAGCAGTGGAGCTGGGCCTTTGTCTTGGGTTTGCCTGTTTGCAGTTTCAGTCCTGGTTGTGCGGCCCCAAGGCCGCTGGTGGCTGGGCCACGCTGTTCTGCTGCTCCAAGGACAGAGTGTCCCTAGAGGGAAGTGGGAGGGGTGCCGTGGGCCAGTGCAGACGGCAGGCAGATGGTCTCCCTTTGCCCTGAAATTGGATGGGCAGTTCTGGAGGGGAGATCTCGATTGGGACTGGCCACTGCTAACAGTGCTTCCTCTCAGGCTTTTTAGCTATTAACTCATTTAACCCTCCTAATACACCTATGAAGTAGGTCCTGTTCCTGTCCATGTTTGACAGATGGGGAAACTGGGGCACAGGAAAGTGAAGAGATGTACCCCTGTTCACACAGTGAGTGGCAGAGCCTGGATCCTGCTAGACTTCGTTGTGGGCTTTGCTGTGACTGGGCCCTGCTGGCTGTGCACCAAGGGATGAATGAGGTGTGTGGTTGTGAAAGACGTGGCCTTTGGAGGTCTGCCCTTGGGACAGTCACTTAGCCAGCGTGAGCTTCAGGTTCTCACCCATGAGGCCAGGACCAGGACACCTGTGTTGGAGGGCCACTGGGGAGTGTGAAGTGCCCAGCATGCTTGCTGGCCTGCAGTCAAGGCACAAAGCAGTAGGCAGGTCCGTGAAGCCATCTGATATGCTTTCTGCACATGGCCTCTCTCACAGGCCTTAAAACTTGTCAATGAATGAGGCCCAGCAGGCTCCTGGAGATGGAGTTGTGCTAAGTAATATGCCCAGAAGATGGAGGAAGAAGCCCAAATGCCAATGGTCCGTTTGGATATAATGTCACATACATTGGACTTCCAATTTTGGGCTGATCTGCTCTCTCCTCTGTGGGGGAGCCCTGCGCAAAGTCAGTGCACAGTCAGAACCTGGGTTTCAACTTGTGACAAAGACCCGTCTCAGGGAGGCGGGGGCCCCCAGTGGGCCTGGTCAGCTGGTCTCAGTCGCAGCCTGCTCCTCAGAAGCTCCTCGGCTTCTGTTCTTGCCCCTCCCAGCCTGGTTCCCCACCCAGCAGCACCCAGAGTGTCTTCTCCCAAGTAAATAGGAGGATCGTAGCACTTTGCGCATCAAAACCATCCCTCGGGCTTCTCGTCATCCTCTGTCCCCTGCTTAGTGATCCTGACAGATCACTCTGCATCTTTCACCTCCTCAAACAGCCACACCCACAGCTCCTCCCCTGCGCAGTGCCACTCCCTCAGCCAGAAATGCTCTTCCCTGTGTTTTCCTCAAGACTAGGTCCCGTAGTAGTTGAGAGCCCAGCTTCAATGTCATGCAGAGAGGCCTTCCTCAAGCATCCTGCCTGGAGTAGGCCCCCACGCCATCTCCCAGCCCCTGCTCATCTCCTGGGCTCTCGCTGTGTTTTCGCGTGGGTACTTGACTCTGCCTCCCTGGTCAGACTGAACTCCTTGTTCCGGCGCCACCCCGGCATCTGGCTAGCGCCTCCTCCTCGTTGAACGTGTAATTGGAAGGACGTGTGCACCTTCTCCTGTGCTGGGCTCAGGGGAAGTGAACAGGGGTGTGGGCCTGCTGCAGGGACCCATTTGAGTCCAGTGTCTCGTGCGTTGGACTGATGTGTGGCCAGTCCGTGATGGTCCTAAGGTGGGGAGGTCGGCTTTGAATGGACCCTTGGCCCCGAGCGCAGGTCCACTCTGGCCACGGGTGGCCTGTTCCCCATCATCCTGTTTCTCACTGGTGGGCTGCTTTGAGATGTGAGCCGCCAAGACTGCCTGGGTCCGCCCCGCGCACACAGGATGCCAGGTTCTGCTGGTGTGGGCATTCTTTTGTCGTGGGGGTCCACTTATCTGTTTTCCAATCTATCACTTATTTGTTAAGGCATTGGTTCCAACCTAATTTGTTCTCTGTGGTCCCTCCTTACTCGCCCAGGGGGTATGTTCTAAGACCCCCAGTGGAAGCCTGAAACCCAGAATGGTACTGAACCTCCATATACTGTTTTTTTTCCCACACAGTTGACCCTTGAATAGCACAGGTTTGCACTGCACGTGTCCACTTACATGTGAATTTTTTTCAAGCAATCTATTGGAAAATTTTTTGGAGATTTGTGACAATTTGAAAAACACTTTCTTTTCTCTAGCTTACTTTATTATAAGAATATAGTACATAATTAAGGATGAACCCTCACATGGCTCATTCTTCTCTGGGTAGTTGACATGTGCTGCCTGTGGGGTTTTAGATGATTAACGAAGCATGTTTTAAAGGAAAAAACTATATAGTACATAATACACATAGCATACAGAATGTGTATTCGACTGATTTATGTCACTGCTAAGCTTCTGGTCAATGGTAGGCTATTAGTAGTTAAGGTTTTGGGGAGTCAGAAGTTATAGGGGGGATTTAGATTGTGTGGGAGGGTCAGAGCCCTAATCCTTGAGTTGTTCAAGGGTCAGCTGTATGTACATATCTGTAATAAAGCCTAATTTATATATTAGGTACAGTAAGAGACGAGCAATGATAGGTAAAAAAAATGGAGCAGTTGTAACTATACTGTAATCAATACGTGACTGTGGTCCCTGAAGACGTCTGCCTGTACTGCACGTGATGACTGAGGTGGTAAAATGGCTACATGATGAGCTGAAGTGAGGTGGGTGACACAGGCATTGTGACGAGCCTTAGGCTGCTGTTGACCTTCCCAGATTAGTCAGGGAGAGTGTCACTTGCTTCCAGACCACAGTGACTGCAGGTAACTGGAACCGCGGAAAGTAAAATGGTGGCTAAGGAAGGACATCAGGAATACAGGGATGAACTGATCACACCTCCTTCCAAGCGGAGGCCTGCAGGAGAGGGTTTTTGGGGAAGAGGTGTGGGGGGCAGCATGTGCAGAGGCCTGGGGGCCAGACTTGGGCCCCATGTTTTGAGATGCGGCCTTACCGGCAGGTCTCTGTGGCCACCCAGAGACCTCTGATCTTTATCTTGGGAGCAACGAAAGTCCCTTGCTGTTGATTTTACCTGTGAGTGTTAACTTTTGGGGGTGGTTCATTTTTAAATCCTTGGGGGCTGTGCGTTATGGTGTGGTTGTGGCAGTGTGCCAGGGCACTGTGGCTCCTTATGCTGACCAGGGGGCTGCGGGTGGTGGGCGGGGGGCTTACGCACCCCCGGGTCCTGTGGTTAATCAGAGATGGGCCTCAAGCCTTTCCCAGCCCTCTGAGGGATAAAAGCCTCTTAGTGGCTTGTGGTGACTGGCAGGCTGGCACAGCTCTGTCCCTGTCCTTGCTTGAACCAGGCTCTCATGCAAGCAGAGCGCCTGGCCATTCTGTCTGCTCCCTGGTCCTTCTGAAATCTTCTTTTCCCCTTTCACGGGACCAGGGCCCAGTGGCTGGGGCTTTGCCGGTTTTGTGGTGGCTACAGCTCCTGTCCTCAGGGTGGGGGCGGTCGGAGCAGTCGGGGATGGTGGTGTAGCACTGGCCCCGGGGCTTCACCGGCACCAGGAAGCAGGTTGAGGCTTGAGGGGGTCACAGCTGGAGCCTCTGGTCTTCTTGTGGGGAGAAGCTGGGTCCTGGGACACCGCAAGGGCCTACCTTGGAAGGAGAAGGCTGGGTCAGGGGAGCTGCCCAGTTGGCCCTTCTCAGGAGGTGGAGGTGGGGGGGGCACATCTTTTCTGTGGGAGGAGTGAGGGTGATCAGAATTTTTGGGGCAATAACTAGTCTGAAACAGTCTGTTGTTGAATACTGTTCACTCCAGAGACTCAAGCCTAACAGAATCTCCTGGCTGGGCTGGGGTTGGGCCAGGGAACCCCTGGACCTCCCGTTGCTGGGGTGGTTTCGGGAGAGGTGGCTTTGCCTCCTGTGTGGGAATCCTGCCGTTCAGGTTTCAGCTGGGTATTGTGATTGATATTGTGGAATGAGGGATTATGTGCATGTCTGTCAGACACTGTCCCCAGAGCATGTCACAGGGCAGCCGCAGGCAGTTAGCTGCATCATTGATGCCCCTCCCCAAAGGCAGCCCCCGAAAGACAACCTGACAAGGAGGAACCTTCGCATGCCTGTGGGGTGCCGGGCTGCTCCGTGGGACTGGCAGCCTTGCCTTGAGTGTGGGCAGTCTCACTGTGTCAGCGTGGGTTCCTGCCCGTCCAGCATGAAGCTGGCTGCTGCTCACCTTTTGGTATGTTGGGGTTTGGCCGGTCTCTCCTCTTTTCCCCACCTTTTTGACCCGAAGTTACCAGAACTCTTGGGTTTTCATGTAAGGATGAGATGAGGATCCCAGAGGAAGTGCCGAGACGCCATCACCCGTCCCCAAGGTGCTCCCTGCCAGGTCTCCACAAGCGGTGTGGGGGGTGGGCCCGGAGCTGCGTATTCTGGCTCACCTGGGGCCTCCGTGGATGGCACTCCGTGGACTGCTCTGTCCAGGGGTGTCCATGTCAAGGGCATGTCCTCCGCCTTCATTTCATTCTCTCACCCTCCAGCAGGGATCCGGGAGGCTCCTGCAGGCGCAGCCCAGAGAGCTGAGATCAGCCCCGTATTTTCTCTTAATTCACCTTTCCTTTGGTGGGCGGGGCTAGGCCCATAAACATCCCAGAAACTCTGCCCTCTGCCGGAATCCTCTCTTGCTTACTACTTCACTCTGCCCCAAGATGCACGTTTCTCCTTCGGCGTTCTTGCGTTCCTTGTTAGGACGCATCTTACAAAAGATATATATATCTACATAGGTGGGTTTTTCACCCAAAATTGGTGGCTTGTTTGAGTCAGTGGTGCCCTGGGATATGGGAACTAGAATTTTCACAGCTTGCCACCTCCATGCCCCAGCCCATGCTAACACTCTGGCCTGGGTTGTCTCTCAGAGTTTCACTGTGGTCTGTGCTGTCCTGCTTGCTCCCCTGCGGTCCCTCTGCCCTCAGCAGCAAGAGGGTTCTTCTCAGAACCAAACCAGGCTGTGGCACCCCTGTGACTTCCTGAAGTCCTCTTCCTCAGTGCTCTCCCTCAAGTCCTCTGCTTGGCCTTTCATTGTGTGCCTTGTGTTCTTGGAGCCCTGCCAAGCTCTGTGCTGCCTCAGGGCCTTTGCACGTCGTCCCCCAGGGGGGTCTCATGGCTTATTCTGGCTGTGGCCTAAATTGCACTTCCTTAGGCCTTGCCTGACTACCTCATATGGCACTTTAGGATCCACAGCTCTCATCCCATTCATAGTAAAGCCAAAGTCTGACTTCGCCCATGAGACCCTGCGTGACCTGTCACCACCCTGCCCTCCCCTCCTCCCACCCCCTTCTCACTCATCCCCTCCAGCCACTCTGTTGCTTGAGCACACCGTGCATGATGCACCTCAGGGCCTTTGCACAGGCCATTCCTCTGCCTGGATGCTCTCCCCAGTTCTCTGAATAGCTCTTTCTTACACTGCCTTCAGGGCTTGGCTCAACGTCCCCTCAGTGGGGCCTTTCCTGGCCACTTTATATAAAATATCACACCACACTTCACCTGCCACTCCCTGCTCCTTTTCCTGCTTTGCTTTTCCCATGGCACATGTCATCTTCTAATGTCACATGTAACTCTTTGATGTGTTGTCTCTGCCCCTAAAGTCTCTGCCCACTAAAATGTCAGTTCTACGAGAGCAAGCGTTTCTGTTTCTCCTCGTGTGGCTGAATCCTTAGAGCCCTTCACAGTGCCTGGCATGCAGAAGGTGTTCAGTCAGTATTTATCCAGTGAATGAGTGAATGTCCAGCTTCCTGGCCCGATGGTGCCTTTCTGCCGAGAGATGTAGAGAGACCAGAGGAGGTTACCAACCTCGTCCTGGTTGGGGGTGCAGTGGTGTGAATCGGCCAGTTCCTGGGGGTCTGGGGCTGGGGACAGCCCTGGAGGGAAAGTGTTCAGTTCGAGGGAGCAAAACCTGGAGTGTAGCCTGTGTGTCCCGGGGCTGGTGACTTGTGCCCTCAAGTCTTGCCTTCCTTGTCTATAAAAGGGGGAAGGAACACCGATCTGCAGGGTCTGCGTGAGGGAGGCTGGGGGCCATCCCCCCATGGGGAGAGGGCAGGGAAGGGGAAGAGGGAGTGCCCACGGGCTGAGGCCCCGCTGGGATGGTTTGGGGGACCACCTCAGTTGGTAAGAGTTCTTCTGGGTCTCATCCAAGGGGCAGAGCCTGTTTGAGGAGGACGGCCCAGGTTGAGCACAGCTGTCTCCATCTGTCATCCGGGAGCTTCTGAAGCTCTGGGTGCTGGCCCTTTGTCAGAGGTCCCGATTTCCTTGTGCAGGGTGACCAAGCTGGGGTTCTTCAGGGGTGTCTTGTAAGCAGGCAGGGTTCAGCACCATGTGTGCCCCAGAAGAGTCACGTCTGCTTGCTCTGTTACCGACAGTCCCAGTCAGCAGATGAAGTCAAGGCCCAGGCAGGGGAGGGTGGTCTGACTGGCCTCTGTGGCACTGCCTCTCGCTCACTGTCGGAGACCCTGCCGCTGCCCCCCACCTTGTCGCACTGCCTTTCTGGGCCTTGGTAGCCTTGGCCTGCAACCGGAGAACGTGCAGGCAGCACCGGGACAGCTGCTTGGGCCCCCCTATGTGGTGTCAGGTGATAGACCCTTCACTCTTGGTGGCGTGAGGCTGCCGTGGCAAGGGAGGCTGAGGCTGGGGGAGGAGCAGGCTCTCCTACGGGGCACGCCTGTGGAGGTGGTGCTTCCGCAGAGTCCCGGCCTTCCAAGACTGGGTGTGCTGGACTTGGAGTGTCAGCAGCATTACATTGCGGTGGTGAGTGGGGGCTTTGGGCCCAAACATGTTGGTCTGGCACTTCCTGGCTGTGTGTCTTTCTGCCCTTAGTTTTCTGTGTTGCCTAACGGGGTCATGGTCCTGAGCTCGCAGGCCAAGGTGAGCTAGGCGAGTTGTGCAGGTGAAGGACTTAGTGCAGTCCTTGGCACAGGTAAGCCTCTGATGCGTCCAAACCGAACAGGCCCATGGAGCACCACTGTAGGAGGGGGGACAGCGCCCCCTGGAGGTCCTGGGGCTGGCCATGGGTGCCAGCAGCCCATCAAAGACCAAGGCTTGAGACCCAGAGTCCCTGCTGTGTTCGCCCAGCATCCGCTTGTCTTAGACCTTCTGTAGTCACCGTGACCAACCTGGAGGTTCCTGAGCACCCAAAGGACATCCCCCAAGGCTTGGTGCTGCTGGGTTGCATGGGGTTTTGCTGGCTTCTGGCCCCCGATCCCACAGCCTTAACATTGGTGTTCAAACACTGGCAGCTGGCTTCTGGCCAGCGGGACCTGGCTAGCCCAGGGTCTGTGAGTAGGTGGTCAGCTTCTCTGTGCCCTTCCCAGCCCAGGTGATGTTCTGTCCCCACCAAGGCACCTCTGGGGGGCTGGTGAACTGCCCCGAGAAATGGGGTCACTCCACTGGAGAAGGAGGTATTTCTGGCTAAGCAGGTGTGGCCTGTGCTGGCTTCTTGGCAGCTGAGCCCAAGGTCTTCTCAGCCATTCTGGCATGAGTAGTGTGACTTTGACATTTCTGGAAAGTGAGGGCAAAGGGAACCCAAAGTGCTGAGCCGCTGAGTCTGGCTGAATGCTCTCAAGCCTCTGCATTTGGGAAGTGGATAAGCCGGCTAGGTGCCGTGGCTCAGGGTTCCACCTCCATCCTCTGTGTGTGGCAGCCCAGCCCGTGCAGCAGCCCAGCCTGTGCACCCTGAGTTTTATTCACTCATGGATAGGAGGAGTCTGGGGAGCATTGGGCCAGCAATATTTGTTAAGATGGGGAAACTGAGGCTTGAGAGGGGTCCAGGCCCTGGGCTTGGGAGGCCCTGCCTGCCCCGCAGCTCCTGCAGGTGGAGCAGCGCTTGCCCCTCGCACTGCCTTTCTGGGGCCCAGGTCAAACCTCAGATGCCCCCATCCTCTCGCCCCCATATCCAGACCACCTTCATAGTCGGCCCACAGTTCCGCCACTTCTCACCCTTGCATGGCCACCTCCCCGCTCCAGCCGCATCACTGTCTCTGCCCTGGTCTCCGGGATCCCCGGGGCTCCTGTGAGCACCTGAGCCAGGTCCTGCTCCTCCTCTGCTCTAGGACCTTCCGTGGCTTCTACTTCACGCAGGGGAAAAGCCGGAGTCCCCGCCGCGGCTCATGAGGCCCCGCACGGCCTGTACTCTCCCCTTCCTGCCTTTATGCCACCCACTCTCCCGTGCTCCCCGACTCTGGTCCGGCTTCCTCCGTGGACTCACGAGCACAGTCCAGCCTGAGGGTGTCTGTGCAGGCTGCTCCCCCTGGAGGGCTCCCCGTACCCCACTCCCTTCGCACTTTGCTCAGATGCTTCGTTCTCAGGGAGGCCTTCTCTGACCGCTGTCTAAAATGGCCATCGTCCCCATCCCTGACCCTCCCTCTAGTCTCTATTGCAGGACTCTTGGTAACAAAACATGCCTCTGTCGCAGTCCTGTGGGGCGGGGCCTGGCTCATCCCTGCAGTGTCTGAGGCAGGGGAGGACGGGAGGCGGGAAGGGATGAAGGAGTGTGAGGCCTCTGGGCTGGTGAGTGGCTGAGGCTGAGTTAGGGTTCAGTCTCTTGGTCCCCACGCCTCCCCACCCCCACCCCCCGCTGCATTCGCTCTCTGTGCCTGTGCTCTTCCGGCCGGCGGGAGCACGTCCGCGGCCACAAGGGGGCAGCAGAGAGCGGGTAGCCCCTGCGGCCGTCACCCTCAGCGGGGTGAACTGTCGTGGGGACAGCCCAGCACGGTCTCCCCGCACGTGTCTCGCTATTGTTAGGGCTCCGGGCTCACTGTCACCATCTGGATGGAGCATCGTTGCACCATCTCTCTGACCTTGGTGTCCAGCGTATGGGCCCCTTCATGGCCACGGTCAGGATTTGGAACGAAGGGGCCCAGCGCTCTGCCCATCTGTTAGAGCTATTTTGCTAGTATTGACCTTATAATTTCATTCTTTGTAAGATTTATTCCAGGCTGTGCATATACTTTCTCTGGTTGTTATCACCTCTGTAAACCTTGCACTAATCCTGTGAGGTGGCAGATGGGGGTAGCCTACTGTGTAGAGGAGGCATCATGGGCTCAGAGAGGTCAGGTAGCCTGTCTAGGGCCACACAGCCCGGAAATAGATGAGTCTTTTTGACCCCAGGCCTGGGGAATGTGAAGATAGCTCAGGAGGCCCTTGCACCCTCTTCGTGAGGGGGCCACTGGGCCTGTGGTCCCCCCTCTGGGCCTGTCTGCACAGAGCCCCTTCTGTGCTGGGATTGCTGGAGAAGGACAGGGCTTCCCTGGGAGCTGGAGCTGGCAGGGTCCCTGGCCCCTACCCCAGAGCCTGGGGGGAGGTCCTGGGTCCCACAGGGTTGGTGGAGCTGGGTGGGCGTGCCCGTGGGCCTCACAGAGGCTTCCTTGGAGCGAGGCCCCTGGCTGGGATGGGAAAAGCGCCTGCCGCTGCCTTGGGGTCTGGCATAGTGGGCAGGGCCCCCTGAGCGGTGAAGGAGGGAAAGGGCCGGCTTAGGGGGTGGTAGGGTGGGGGCTCTGGAGTGACGTTATACAAGCCCAAGCACTGACCTGGGCAAGCCCAGGTGCTGAGCTCCGCAGGTGTTTACTGGGTACGGCTCCTTGCCAGGCTCTGCTGGGAGGTAATAGAACAGGGTCGTCCTGCTCTCAGGAGCTGAGCTCCAGGTGGAGGCAGACGGTAACCGCTATTGTAAGTTGACGGTCAGGAAGGGCCTCTCTGAGAAGCCTGCCGGAGTCCTGAGGAGGTGAGGGGGCAGCCCTGTGGTGTCTGGGGAGAGCCTTCTAGGCCGGGGAACAGTTATGTGGAAAGGCCCTGAGCCCCTCCTGCGTGTGCATAACTACCCTGCTTTCCTCATCCACCAGACGGGTCCATCCCTGGAGCTTTGCCTCCCTGCAGGCTCTGGACACAGGCGCTGGCTCAGAACAGGCACTCAGAAAATGGGTGCTCCTGTTTCTACTGCGGCTGTATCAGTCAGCTCCATCTTTATTTCCAGGAGGCAGTGAAGACTGTGGCTCTGGTGCTCCCCTCAGGGGTGGGGGAAGGCTGCAGCCTGGCCGCGCCCCTCCTGCTCGGTGGGCTGTGGCCCCGCCCTATGTCCTGTTCCCCCTTCACGCCCTGACCCCGTGCTGCCACGAGTTGCTGTTGGCCGGGCTCTGGAATCTCCGGCCTCTGGATGAGAATTCCTCCCAGGCTAGTGGAACTGTCATCGCAGAGCTTCCCTCCCACATCCCAGTCCAGGGTGCCTGCCCTGTCCTTGTCCTCTGTGTCCATTGTGCTGCGGGCTTATCCCCTGACCCCCTCACAGGCCTCACTTCCCCCGTCCACGAACATCACACCCTGCCCAGCTGCTGGCCCCTCATGAGGCCTCACTGCTCCCCCTCTTCCCCTCGCAGCCTTCTTCCTGGGGATGGGGGCCTGGGCTCTGCTCCGCAGCTGCTGCGCCCTCAGATCCCAGTCCTAGGCTTACCCTGGGCCCCCACCCCAGGCTGGTTGCTAGTACTGGGCAGGTGAGAGTGTATGTGTGTGTGGGGGTGTGCCTGCGTAGGTACAGAGCAGGGGTGGGGGTGGCAGTGGCGCAGGAGGGGTGCACAGTGGGTAAGCACACTCGGGGAACTCCCACATTGAGGCTATCCATCTAGGGGGTGGGTGGGAGTGCGGATTCTCTGCTGCCCCTGCCCCAGGACCTTTTTAGTGGTAATTGGGGCCTGATTGTTAGCCCCCTCTTTAAAAAATCATTAAGGTGAATTCATATAACATAAAATTAACCATTTACAAGTGAACAATTAAGTGGCATTTAGCACATTCACAGTGTTGTACAACCACTACCTCTGTCTAGTTCCAGAACATTCCCATCACCCCAAAGAGTCCAGGTCCCCATTAGCCGACACCACCCCTGCTCCTACCCTGTTCCCTGGCAGCCACCAGTCTGCTTCCTGTCTCCTTGGCTTTATCTCTTCTGGACATTTCACATAAGTATGTGAGCCTTTGTGACCAGCTTTTTTAACCTAGCTAGCATGTCTTTAATTTTGAAATAATTATAGAGGCACAAAGAGTTGCCCCGTATCCCCCCTCGTCCCATCCCAGGGCCTTTCAGACCTCTTTTGGGGTGAAGATGGCTGCAGGGTCCTGGGAATTGGAGGCAGGAAATAGGAATTGAGGGATCCTGCCATGGTGGTCCTGAGCTGGGGTAACCCCCACCTGGTGGGCTAGGCTTACCTCTGAGGGCGCTGGCTGCTCCTCTCCTCCGGCCTCCGGCTGGCCTGGGCATGGCGGCGGCTGCTGGAGGGTGTGCCCCTCTCCTGGCCACCCCCTCTTGCCCCCCAGCTTCCTCTCCCAGCAGCCAGTCGGGGCCCCCGACGGCCTGAACTCTCCTTCTGGGCCCTGGTCCAGCGCCTGGGTTTGGGGGAGAGGGGTAGGATTTCAGCCCTCCCCCAGCAGCTGGCCAGCAGGGAGAGGGGCTGATTGTATTTTAAGCTGTTGAGTGGTTCAGCAGGAACTTGGAGGCTTCCTCTCCCAGTCTAGGCATGGTGCTGCCTTCCTGCGGGGCCACACAGGCTCCCAGGCATGTGGGCACTGCCTGCCTGGGACCCAGGAACTATTAATATATCTGCAGCCATGGGGCAGGCCCTGTGCCTTCCTGGGACTCTTCTGTTCTAGCCCTTTCTGGCACATATGAGTGTGCCCATTCCTTCTCCTGTGCACCCCCTTGACGGGCCAGACACTCTGGGTGTATGATCCGCTTGCTGTTTTGGGACCTTCTGCTTGGCCTTGTGGGTCTGTGGGTCAGAGGGGTTCAGTAGCCTGCCCCCCAAGGCCACCGGACCCATCAGAGCCTGCCGTTGACGGTGGGCACTCTCTAGTGTGGTAATGAGCAGCATGGGCCAGGACTTACTAGGTGCTGGGCCCCCTCTTACCTTCCTGTCCATGGGGGAGGAGGGGTGGGTACAGCAGAGATGGGCTCACAGGCCGCCTGCTGTAGCAACCTTTAGGCCAGCAGGGGAGCTGGACTCTGCGCCCAGGCCCAGGCCCTTCCGCTTGTCCCAGCACCACAGGCCCCCTCACACCTGTTCTCTGGAGGTTTTTGGGGGCACTTCCTGTCTGTCAGGCACCATGCTGGGTTTACTTCAAGTGCCTCATTGGCCCCTCGTAGCCCCTTGAAGCACACACCTTCCTGCCTGCCCCAGTGTTGGGGCACAGAGGAGTGACTGGATGGAGCCACCCAGCCCCTGTGCTGCCCACCACGGCCCCTTGCCTCCACAGCCGTCAGGGTATGCAAGGGGAGCCCTTTCCTTCAGGGACACTGGCTGTGGGCGACCCCTCTACCTGGGCTCTGGTTGGCTGGGTGTGCCCCCAGAGAGGCCTGCTGGGGACCTGCCCCTTTAACCCATGCTGCCTCTGACTGGGGGCCCCCACCGGTTGGAAGGGTTCTCAGCATCTGCTGGCTGGTGGCTGACTTGGGGTCCGATCCAGCCCTGCCTGCCAGGACCCCGTGTCTAATAAGATCTGTGCTAAGCCCCACTGCGGGGTGGGGTTGGGGTAGGGGTAGGGGCAGGTGGATCGCTGGGCCTCACCTCCGCTCCTGTTGGGTGCCTCTTCTGAGCTGTTTGGTCAGGATGGGTTAGGGCCCCGGGGCTTCTCCCTGCCCTCCGTTGCAGCACTGCCCCTCTGCGCTGACACTGGGGACTCAGGGAGGGTGGGGTCGGGTGGCCAGGCTGTGTGCTCAGGGCGGGGTTCAGTCTGGGCGAGTGTGCTAACGTTGGGCTGCCATGGAGGGAAGACTGCCCAGAGGGTGGCCTTCAACAAGGCCTGGGTGAAACCAGTTAGAAGTGGTAGCTGAGGGGGTTCAGGAAGGCTGGGGCTGGGGCCTCGTCTGGTGTCCTGACCCTTTCCACACTTAGAGAGAGGCTTTCTGCACCAATAACTCTGGAATCTGTCACCTCCCTGGGAACACAAATGCACAAGGAAAATAATCCAGAGTGTTTCTTACAGCTCAGAAGGGGAAACGGATGCTCTATCTCACAGATTCTCAAAATAGCTGGGATTTCTCCAAGCCCAGTGAACTTTGAGCCTGAGCTGGGCACTTGGGGCTTGGGCTGCCCGCTGGCCTCACCCTCCTCTGGGTGACTGGCCCCCGCCCTGGGCTGGGCAGGGGTCCAGAAGGTACCTTCGTGCCCCACTCTGGGGATCTCCTTGCCCATGGTGTGCTTTGGGGACTGTGTCCACTCGAAACCTCACTTTCAGGGGGATCCGGTCCCCGGGGGCTGCCTCCAGGCCCCCCTCGGGAGTGGCATGGCTCCTGGGGGTCTCAGTCTGGGGCAGTTTTATATTTAGCTGGGCTGTGGCTGTGGGGCACTCGGGTTACATCTGCACAAAGCCGGCTGTGCCAAGGCAGGCACGGGCTCCTTTCCAGCACCGCGGCAGAATTTGATCGCGTGGCCTGACACTGAGCTGCTTCGCGTGGGGAGGTCCGTGGTGGGGGCTGACGGTCGGCAGCGGGGCCACTGGCTGCGGGCAGAGCAGGGCGGCATGGATCTGAGCATGAGCCTGGTGGCCCGGGATGCCAGCCAGGGCCTTGGCCCCTGCCTGGGTCTCAATGGCCTCCCCCGGCCTTTGCCTCCCAAAGTGGCCAAGAAACCTAAAAAGGCTGTGCTCTTCTTTGAGGTGGAGATTCTGGACGCAAAGACTCGGGAGAAGCTGTGCTTCCTGGACAAGGTAGGATTGCGGTGCCGCCTGGCTAAGGGCACCGGGCTGGGACTCCACTTCTTCTGGGGCCTCCTGGCTCTGGGAGCTGTCCAGCTGGAACCTTTATGCCCCTCCAACCTGTGTCCTGACACCCCACCCTGACTTTCGAGGGGCATCTACCTGCTTGGGTAGAGTGGGCAGCCCTGGCTGCTCCTGGGTGTGGCAGCCTCTGTGGACCCTGCGGGACTTTGGGGCCTGGGAAGGAGGTGGAGTTCTGGGACCTCCCCTCTGCTGAGGAAGAAGGGAAGGGGCTCATTCTGTCCTAGGGGAGATCTGGGGGGAGGTGCAGATAGGGGTGGAGAGGAGAGGCAGGGAAGCAGGCCCAACTTCCCATGCTCAGACAGTCTCCTAGCCAGACTGAGGGTGTCTTGGCCGCCTGGGAAAACTGGGCCTTCAGGTCACCATGGCTGTAACCATTTGGCAAGGCCCTTGCCGCTGTGGGTGGGGGTCTGGACCTTAGCCTTGCCCCAGGCCCATAGCAGCTGCCCAGGCCTCCAGTCCATCCCCCTCACCAGGAGGGATCCTGGATCCTGGGTCTGGGCTCCCCCTGCTGACGTCTCTGTGGCCTGCGCTTCCCACAGGTGGAGCCCCATGCCACCATTGCCGAGATCAAGAACCTTTTCACTAAGAGCCGTAAGTCCAGAACCTGGCCCCACTGCCCCCTTTGACCCTTCTCAGCAGGGGCTACTGGGTAGGACGGGCCCTGTGCACCCCTACCCCCAGGGCCTGCAGAGATGCCCCTGGTGTGGCCCAGGCTTCTCCCAGCTTGCCCGGGGCGAGTGCCCCCGTGTGGCCATTGGCAGGAACGCCCTTGCTGGGTTTTGGGAAGAACAACATCCTCTTTCTGCTGGTGCTCTGCTGGGTTGTGTCCTCAAGCCACACAGACCTCAGATGCCTTGTCCAGGGGCAGAGGAAGGTGTGGGGTCCCTGGGCTCCGCCAGCCTGTGCACTGTGACGCCCTGCTTTCCTCGCAGATCCACAGTGGTACCCTGCCCGCCAGTCCCTCCGCCTGGATCCCAGTAAGTAACAGCTGCAGGTTGGCTGCCCCTGAGCTCCTGGGTGGCAGTGGGCGAAGGCCCTGGCAGCCCCTGAGCCCTGGCCTGCCTCTCCTCAGAGGGCAAGTCCCTGAAGGACGAAGATATTTTACAAAAGCTGCCGGTGGGCACCACAGCCACACTCTACTTCCGGGACCTGGGGGCCCAGATCAGCTGGGTGACGGTGAGTCCCAACCCTGCCTACAGCCTCCTCTTCCATCAGCCACACTGGGGTGACTCGCTGCCCATCCCCCACCCATGCATCCCCAGGTCTTCCTGACAGAATATGCCGGCCCTCTCTTCATCTACCTACTCTTCTACTTCCGGGTTCCCTTCATCTATGGCCACAAGTACGACTTCACGTCCAGCAGGCACACAGTGGTGCAGTGAGTGGGGCCAGGAGGGAGGGGACGGCGGGTGGGTATGGGAGGCCTCTGGACCTGCCCCAGCTGAGCCGGCTTCCCCGCAGCCTCGCCTGCATCTGCCACTCATTCCACTACGTCAAGCGCTTGCTGGAGACACTCTTCGTGCACCGCTTCTCTCACGGCACCATGCCCTTGCGCAACATCTTCAAGGTGAGCACTTGGGGGGGCATCCACCAGGACCCGGCCCTCCTCCAGCCCAGCCCTCTGGACCATGCCCACCAGGGTATCACCCTCCACCACACCCACCCTTCCCGGCCTGGGCGCCAGTCTCTGCTGCACCAGGCTCCATCCCAGCCACTTGCTTGCAGAACTGCACCTACTATTGGGGCTTCGCTGCGTGGATGGCGTATTACATCAACCACCCTCTCTACACGCCCCCCAGTAAGTGGCCCGGGACCCTGCTGCCCCCATGAGCCCCCCTGCCTATGGGCTGTCCCTCACCACCTCCCCTCTACTTCCTCTTCAGCCTACGGAGCTCAGCAGGTTAAACTGGCACTGGCCATCTTTGTGGTAAGCAGGCTAGGGTGGGGGCTAGGTGGGGGAATTTAGGGGACTCCCGGCTGACCCCGCTTCTCTGATAGATCTGCCAGCTTGGCAACTTCTCTATCCACATGGCTCTGCGGGACCTGCGGCCGGCCGGTGAGTGGCCCATCCAGGCAGCAGGCCGGTGGGGCTGGGCAGACAGGCCAAGGGGGTCTCACTTGTTCCTCCTGCCCTGCCTGCCAGGCTCCAAGACCAGGAAGATCCCATACCCTACGAAGAACCCATTCACGTGGCTCTTCCTGCTGGTGTCCTGTCCCAACTACACCTACGAGGTGAGGGTCTGCTGCTGGGGCTGGTGGTCCCATGTGGATGGGCAGCTGCTTTTGCATTTGAACTTGGAGCATTTGGGGACGGAGCAACTGTGGCCTTTGGGGGCTGGGAAGGGTGTAAGGCTGGGCCTGCACTGTTCTGGGCGTGTGGGGGGCAGCTTTATCCTGTAGCCTGGTCATGCGGGCCCTCTAGCATTGGAGTTTGGCTCCCATCCCCGCTCTCTGAAGAAGGGTTAGGGGTAGAGAAGGTGGGCAAGGCCTCTGTAGGACAGCTAGCGCTGCCCAGCCCCATCCATCCTCACCCCTGGCTGCTCTGCCCACAGGTAGGGTCCTGGATCGGCTTTGCCATCATGACACAGTGCCTCCCAGGTGAGCTGCTGTCCCTCCCTCAGCGGGCCCCAGCCCACCGGGCATGCAGCCCCTCCCTGACATCCCTACTCTGCCCCACAGTGGCCCTCTTCTCCCTGGTGGGCTTCACCCAGATGACCATCTGGGCCAAAGGCAAGCACCGCAGCTACCTGAAGGAGTTCCGCGACTACCCGCCCCTGCGCATGCCCATCATCCCCTTCCTGCTCTGAGCTGCTCACCCCGGCCTGGGCTTGGCCAAGCTGGGCACTTGTTCTCCCACTCCTGTGGCATTCTCGGGGAGTGGGGGCCACCTTCTCCAGCGCCTGGAATAAAACCTGCCTGCCCCCGCCGGACTCGGAGCCGAGCTGTGTGGTTCTTTGGGGTTTTAGGGAGCAGCACACCACAGAAGAGGCTGGCTCAGGCTGAGGCCTGCGGGCTTTTATTTCTCGACTGGTCCACAGAGTGGTGGGCAGGCCCACTACAGGGCCACCTCGGGGGCCACCTCGCCGGGCCCCTGACCCCTTGCCATGTCCGCCTCCTTCTGCTCCCGCCTCTTCTTCCGCTGGAGCAGCCGCCGCTCACGCTCAAACTCCTTCATGCGCTTCACGTAGCTGTGGGTGGAGGATGAGAGGGGTGTCAGGCTCCCGGGCCAGGCCCTTCCTGAGAAGCCGAGGACCAGGGCTTAGCAGGAATCCCGGAGCTTTCTGGGGAGGCAGGCTCGGGCGGGGGCTGGGTGGGGGAATTCAGGGGGCTTCAGTCTGGGCTTGTCCCAAGCAGTGAGAATGGTGGGGCCCACCCTCCCGCCTGGACCTGGCTTGGCCACTACTCCAGGTGGCCTCAAAGGCACCTGCCCCACCCAGCAGCCCCTTGAGATTCCTCTTCTGACTGAGCTGGGGCCTGCTAGGACCTCTGGTGTCCGTTCTGTCTTTTGCCTGCAGCCAGGTCCTGTTGGGGCGGGGCGGGGCCGGCCGGGGCGGGGCGGGGCCGGCGGGCCGGGGCGGGGCTCACTCCAGGTGCTCGCAGTAGTCCCAGTCGTGCTGCTCATGCTTGCAGGCCAGGAAGTTGGGGAAGCTGTCGCGCTTGCACTTGAGCAGCCGGATGAGGTAGTGGGCGCAGTAGTCCCGCTGCTGGAGCACCAGCTGCGCGTCATTCATCTGCTGCTGCGTGGCCACCATCTCTGCGGACAGTGGGTGGGCTCAGCCAAGCCTGGCTGGGGAGGGTCTACCTGCCAGGGTTCCCTCATCACACCTGATTCCCCCACTGATGACCTGACAGCTGGATTAGGGCAGATTATCTGACAGACGGGAGTGCCCTTTTCTCGTGCGCAGAGGCAAGCCTGGACACAGGCCTGGACAGGGGCAGAGTCCCTCTCTCCCCATCACCCCTGGTCACCTCCACCTCTGTACTGGATCCCGCTTCTCCTCCCCTTGGGAAGACAATCCCACTGTGCAGAGCCCCTGCTCAAACACCACTTTCTCTCGTGCTCCCTTCTGTGGGGCGCAACCCAGCATGGGGGCTGGGCCTCTCAGTGTGCCTGGGTCCCTGCCTCACCCCCCAGCGGGCAGCGTGGCCTCTCCAAGCTACAGGTAAAGTGCGTAGGTGTATGCCGCTGGTCCTGGTGCTACACCCACCCAGCAAACCTGTCCTAGGATGAAACCAACTTTTGGGAGGCAGATCTGAGGCCATTAGAAACCAAGGGCACGCATCCCAGGCCGCGCCTGGAGATCCTGCGCTCTTCCCCCACCTCTGCCCTTGGTGCAGTCCGCCAGCACTCGGCCTGGCACCAGCGCCCAGAACCAGACTTCCCATGTCCACAGGGACGCTCTCCTTACCTCGACGTCTTTCTTGGTCTCAGCTCTTTCCCATCAGCATCAAAAAGTGTCCACGACTCACCTTCCATCCTTCCCTGGTTGGCTTCTCCCCTCTGCTTCCCAACCACATTTCTCTGTCTCTTGGGCCCAGGCCCCCACCTCCTGCCCCTTTATCTCTGCTCTCATCTAACTTCCCAAATATTAAGTGCTGGCTTCCTGTGATTCTTGCTAAGAGCACCCTGTGCGCCCTAACCCGGGGCTTCCCCTGCCACTCCTTGGTCCCCCGCCCTCACCTCACCTGAGCCGCAGGCAGTGTGCATCCACCAATAGCCCCTACTGCTTTCCATGGTGGGGGCTGGGCACCTGGTGCTCGGGCATAATCAGTGAGCAGCCAGGATCTGTGCAGCACCTGCTGTATGTTAGGTGTTGGGGATGCAGCAGGGAATATGCCAGACAAGGATCCCTGTCCTTTGGAGGGAGACAGAACAGCACCAGAATGAAGAGAATGTCCAGCAGTGCTCAGGATTAGGGAGAAAAATAAAGCAAGGCAGAGAGAGACAAGCAGTGTTGGGAGATGGGTCACACTTGAGCTGGAGGGGGTCCCTCAGCAGGGGGCATCTGAAGGTGAGGGAGTGGGATGAGCGTCCTGGCATAGAACAGTAGGTGCAAATGTCTGGGGGTTAGACAACAGGAGCTGGGATGCCCCAGGGATTTTGTCCTGGGCATGTGGTCAGAGCTGGAGGGAGGCAGTGGTCTGGTGGGGAGGTCAGGAGCTCTGTTTTGGACCTGCTGAGTGTGAGGCGCCTGTTAACATGTGGAGATGCCAAGCAGGCAGTGGGGTCCATGAGTCTGGGGTTCAGGGTTGAGGCCCAGCTGGAGGTAAAGACTTGGGTGCATTGGCACACAGAGGGCAGGGGTGGTGGGAGTGGAGGCAGAGGCCCAAGCAGTGATAAGATGGAGAGAGAGGGAAGAATCAGTGAAGGAGCATCAGTGAGGTGGTAGGCCTGAGGGGTCCTGGGAGCCAGTGACAGGGTACGTCCAAGAAGCGCAGCAATGAGTGGAGCTGGAGACTGCTGCAGTGGGGTTAGTCAGGACTGAGAACTCACAACAGCGATTACTGACAGAAGGGGTGGGAGGGAAGCTTGACAAAAGCCCTTTCAGTGGAGTGGTGGGAGATAGCTGGAGGGGGAGATGGGGCCAGAGGGGATTTTAAATAAAAAATACCACTGTATTTGCATGTTGACGGAATTCACTGCACAAGGCAGTGCCACACGGGTGTCTAGCAGCACATGGCAGGTAGGTGCCAAAGAGGGCTGGGTTTAACGGGTTTTGGTTTAGCCAAGCAAGAGAGGCAGGGGACGGGGGGGTGTTTGCAAATGCAAGGATTGTGGGCAAAGCAGGGTGTAAGAAGCAGTGGTAAAGCTGACGTGATAAGGGGGTGGGCGGACTGATGGGCTGCAGGTTCACCTGCGGCTGAAGGACTTGGGAGGCAGACTCCCGCACTGTCCCAGGTCTCTCAAGTCCAGACCTCTGCACACCAACCCCCTGCAACTTAGAGATCTCGTCTCCAAGTCCTCACCCACCCAGCAGTCAGCGCCACCTTTTGACAAATCAACTGTGATCGCATTCCTCCTCTGCTTAGAAGCACTGGCTGTACCCTCTCCTTGGTCTCCCTTTCATCACTCCTCCTCATCCCCCCGAGGTCTCTTCCAGCCACCGCCTCCTGGAAGCTTGCCCTGCTGCTCCCAGGTGCAGCCCCTAAGATCGACCTGGTTGGGCTGTCTCCCCCACAGTGCTTGCTGTATCTGCGGTGCCCAGCTTGGGACTTGGCCCAGGTTGGCGCTCGATAGACTTGTTACATTGCTACATAAAAAAAGCCAACGAGCAAGACAGTAGGTGCGGTGTGAGCCCCTTTTGTTTTCTTGTGCATTCCTAAAAGCAGCAGTGACATCTGGACATAGGTACAATGAACACGTCCATTCCGTGAAAACACCCCCCACCCCACGGCTCCCCACTGACTCTAGGACTTGGTCCAGCTTCCAGCGGCTCATTAACCCCATACAACCACTCTCTCTGGCCCCACTGCCAAACTCCTACACACTCAAGCAGTGTCACGCGTGTCCTCTGGTTCCCTCCAGGCCGAGGTCGGGCTGAGTCCAGGCTCAGTGCTGGAGGCTGGAGTCCAGTCCTGGGGAGCCTGCGTTTGTGGGTTCCAGCACCCGCGCCCCACTCCCGCCGGCCGCGCCTGCGCACTAGGCCTTACCGCGCTCCTTGCGCTCCGGAAAGCCGAAGTCGGGCGGGTAGGTGGGCATTCGCAGGGGGTCGGGCTCCACCGACGCATCGCCCAGGTAGCGCCGGCCTAGGTGCGCCCCCATGGCCGCTGTCACCGCAGGTTCCTACGGCAGCCGGGGTCACCTCGTTCCTACTCGGAAGCACTCCCCCATCGCCAATCACGATTTCCGGGTCGCGCAGGCCGCAGCGAGGATCATTGAGATGAACGACTCCACGGGACTTCCGGTCTCTCTGGCGTCACCTGGCCGACGGGCGGAGACAGCGCAGGCGCTGGGGAAGACTGAAGCAGGGTCTTCCTGCCTCTGAACATCTAGGGGGAACAGGCGGGCCGGGGCCCTTCCCCAGCCTTTCCTGGGCGACCCTGGTCTCCCGAAGCTGGAGCACAAGTGAAAATTATTTTTCATACCATATTAAAAAAATAATACTCTTTTTCTTCTGAAAGATTTCGAATTTGTCTTAAAATAACCCTTCCCAGTACCGATGGTATGATTAGTGAATATCAAAAAGTTTGAATACAATTACTTAAAATATTTTAATTGATGAAATTTAATTTATATAAACAAGTAAAGTTATTTATAAATAAAACAGTGTAAAGTTGAAATTTAAAATAAATCCTATTTCATGTTTTTGTGAAAATGAAACAAGGTGCAATCTTAGTATTCCTCTAATGGCCACTGCAAAGAATTGACATAAGTATCAAACCTGTTACATTAAGGCTTACATATATGCAAATTTAAAAGTATGATACATTGTTTAATACTGCCAAATACTTCTTGGCCTCAGTGCACAATTGTAACAAATGCTGTGCTGATTAGCTACTCTCTCTGGGAGAAACCCTCCAATGGGTGCTTGGTGGTGTTTGGTGCACTTGTCAAAAAGGAAATCAGATCTTTCACTCCTAGATTGAAATCCTCCTGTGGCTCCCCATTTTATGTGGAGTAAAAACTGGACCCAGCTTGAAAGTGATTCAGAAGGTCTGGTGTGGGGCTCCAGAATCTGCATTTCTAACCAGTTTCCAGGTGATAGTGATGTGGCTGGTCTGGGAACTACCTTTGGAAGAGTTGTTCAGCTAGATTTTCATGTGCTGACACAGAGAAGTGGCCCTGATATATTTTCAAGTGGAAAAAGCAAGCTTTAGAGAGTAGACTAATGGTGATCAAGACTTCCTTTCCAAGGTGACTTGTGACCTGTCCCCAGATCATGGCATGGATTTGTGAATGAACTCCTGGAGTTGTGCAATGTGCAACCTGCACAGCTGTACCAGGAAACCTAGCCTTGTCCTGGGTGTCTCTCTTCCCTGTCCCTTTCTCTATGCACCTGCAAACCCAGTGGTCAGAAGTGGGAGGAGACCCAGGGAAGCAAATCATGGTCCCAGATCACTCTCCCTGTATGACCTTGGGGAGTGACTTCCCCTCTCAGAGACTCTGTTTACCCATCTATAAAATGGGATTGGTCATACCTAGTGCATTTGATATGCATTTGACTTATTTATCTTATTTACTGTTGGTCTCTCCTCTCAAATGTCATGTTCCCGTGGAGCAGGGAATTTTCTGTCTTGTTCATGGCTGTATTCCTGCACCTAGAATGGATCTACAACACAGTAAGTGCTTAGTAAATATTAGTCAAATCAACAAATAAATAAATGAATAGGGAGGTTTGGAGGAGTCAGATGGTGGCAGGGAAAGCACTCACTGCCTGTTACCTAGTAGGTGTCTAATACATGCTGTTATTATTACTCTCGTCTGGGTCACACTCTTTAACTAGAAGGCCAACCAGATGGGGCTCCTGGGACCAGTCACTTCACTAGCGATGGAAGGGGTCCAAGCCAGGGAAGATGACTCTGGGTGGGAGGGGATATGGTCCATTGTGTTCTGAGGTCCCCAGACTCATGTTTCAAGCTGGCCCATCCATACCCAGGGCTGGGATGTTGAAAAGATGATATTAGGATGAGGGTGGAAGTAGGCAGCAGTGTGGGGTTTGGACAGGCCAGCTCTCGGTCACCTGGGTCCTACAAACTTCCTGTTTTTTCTCTACCAACCATCTGACAGAGAGGCCTTCCTGTGTTCCCTGCCCACACTCCCCAGATGCCCAAGTTTCACTGCCCACAGCTGCCCACTCCCACCCCCCCTTTTCCTCTGCCACCCTGTCCTGGCCCATCTGGTCAGCCCCAGGCAGAGTCTAAGTTAGCACTTTGTGAGCAGAACAGCCTCAGAGGACCCAGATGCGGCAGGGTGTGGAGAAGGAAATTCTGGGTGGCATCTGCACCTCTCCACGGTCTGCTGGTTGGGAGATCAGATGTTATGGGTAATTCAGTTCCGGGCTGCGAGGAGGAAAAAACAAGGTCAGAGATGCCTAGAAAATCTCTGGGGGAAGGCCTTGCTTCTGCCTACGGGGCAGACAAGACAGTGCCTCTGATTCAGTCCAGGGGCTGCCCTGGGATTGGTGCTGCTTGCATCAGAGACAGCTGGCTGATGTTGGGGGGACTAGTGAGCCTGGGTGGGCCTGGCTTCATGGGTGGCCTTAGTCAGGGCTTGGTGGGCATAATGATCATTCATTCATTTAACAAACATCCATTGGACAGCTACTGTGTGGCAGGCAGTGAAGCTGAGTCACTAAGGAGGGGAAGACAGGCAGTAGACAGTATCAACATGTGAGATATATGGATTGTCAGATGGTGATAACTGTTAAGGAAAAACACAATGAATAGTGTATCAAGAAGGGCTGTCTTGGAACTTAAAAAAAAAGAATTGTTTTAGGAAGCCTCACTGAGTAGGGGACACATAGGATAAAAGACTTCCTGTTTCTCAAACACACCAGGCATTTGCTATCCTCAGGACCTTTGCACAACCTGGAAAGCTCTTCCTCCACACATTCACTCATCCATGGCCTTCCTGCAACGTCCTTCACTCTATTTCAACTGTCAGGCCTTACCTGATCACTTTTTTATTCTTCTAATTGAGATATGACTGACATATAACCTTATGTTAGTTACAGCTGTACAACACAATGATTCGATAATTCTGCATGTAGTGAGATTTGTATATATTGCGGTGCCACCATAAGTCTAGTTAACATCCATCACCACACATAGCTATAATTTTTTTTCTCGTGATGAGAACTTTTAAGATCTACTCTCAGGAAACATTATTGTAGGGTATGGATTGGATATACACCCACTAGTTTATAGGAAGTGTTTATAGAAGTGTAAAAAAAAAATGGTTCTTAGAGCATTAATTGCTCAGCAAGATTAGAAGAGTTAATTAATATCAGCAAATGCACGTGCTAACCATTTTGCAATGTGTGTAGAGGTGTGGTTAATGACGTAAAAAAACCACATTTTTATAAGTGTTTCTTGTCTAGTTGCAATCAGTGTTATTTCAGTGAATGGATGTGTAGACAGTTCTGACATGCATATAGAGAAGTGTCTGGAAACACATGCAAAAAAGATGTTTCTAAAAGCATTATTTATTAATTTTTTTAAAGAATTACTCTCTTAGCAACTTTCAAACATACCTGGCTACCTTATTAAATGTAAGCATTTAATACTCTACATTTCTCTCAGTACTGCTTTTGCTGGGCCCCCCAGGTTTTGATGGGTGTGCTTTCCCTTTCATTCAAGTAAAACTATTTTTAGCTTTTAATTTCCTTTGATCCGCAGGTATGATTTAATTTCCAAATATTTGTGGATTTTCCTGATCTCATCCTGTCATTTCTAGCTGAATTCAGTTCTGGTCTGAGAACATGCCTTGTATGATTTCCATTCTATGATCCTCCTTTTTATTGCAAGATATTTTTTTTGGTGGGGATGGGTTCATCAATGGATCACTAGTACCTAGAACAGAGCCTCATGCATGGTTCATCAGTACATATCTCCTGAATGGATAAAAGAGCTACTGTATTCCCAGTCTCCTCTGGATGTATCAGGAGACCATTGCTCAGAGACATTGCTCTACTCCCTTGAGGTCACACAGCAAGAATGGGGCAGAGCTGGGGTTAGCTGGGACCCATGGCCTAATGTGATACCCAGTTGATGGCACTGGATTCCAATAACAGTTCCTGAGCACCTACTGTGTGTCGGGGTCCAAAGGATGGCCTTGGCCATGCAGCCATCACCCCCACCACCGTGAGACCACCCAGCCTTCCTTTTAGACAAATCTCCATTTCCCCATCTACAGAAAGGGAATGGCCATCCGGCCATCTGTATCCTCACACGCATGCTGGGAAGGTCTGCATATTACCTCAGGCAGCGTACTGGGGAAGGCCCAGCCCCTGGGGTGAGCTTTTTCTGGAAAGGGAGCTTTTTCTGCAGCCTCCCTCCCACCTCCACTAGGGCTGGGGCCACCCCCCTCTCAGGTGCTGGAGAAGATTTTCCACTGGCCGAGACTGTGAACTGCTTACATTTAGACTATGAGATGAGAAATTCTCTTATTTAAACTACTCTTGTTCTGAATCTCTGTCCCAGCAACTCAACCCAATATTCTAACTCGTGCATGATTCTGGTGGGACCTTCTTTATTGTTTAAGACCATTTGAATAGCATTTCCTTTTACTTTTAATGGAAAGCCCTTAAAAAGGAGAACTGGGGTCTTGCCCTTTGGGCCTGTAATACTTTCCTACAGTTACTGTAATGAATTATCACAAATGTAGTGGCTTCAAGAAACAGAAATGGATTCTTTTACAGAAGTTTTAACTATTCCATGAGTCTGAAACCACGGTGTCAGCAGGGCTAGAGTTCTGCAGAGGCACTGGTGGGAGGGTTATTCTCGCCTTTTCCAGGGTCTAGAGCTGCCTTCTTTGGCTCAGGCTTCTTCCTGCCTCTTCAAAGCCACCAACACAGCATCTAGCTTCAAGAAAGGGAAAGAAGATTTGAGACATACAGAGGGGAGGGCCGTGTGAAGACAGAAGCAGAGATCGGAGCGATGGGGCCACAAGCTCGCGGGGCCCCCAGCAGCAGGAAGTGACAGAACTTCTGGAGAAAGCATGGCCTGGCCAACACCTTGATCTCAGACTTCTACTTTTTCCCGCCCAAGATAAATTATATTGTAATCCGGTATTTTAAAAATAAAAAAGAAATGTAATAATAAATCCATGAGGAACAAACTACTGAAAGCTCAAATAAAGACAGGCTGTTGATTTTTTTCTCTTCCAGCTTTATTGAGGTATAACTGACCATCAGCAATTGTATATGTTTAAAGTGTACAACTTCATGACCAATTATATATTCACCACAACCAGGCCGATCAAGGTATCCGTGTGTGTGCACATGTATGTGTGTGGTTTGGGGTTTCCCTCAAGAGAGATTTGCATGCCCTTGACTTTTAAAGAAAAAGGGAACTATGAGAAGTTTTAGGCACCTGTGTAGGAGGGACGGGGGGTAAAATCTATTGAGTTCTGGCTGCACCTTTTCAGGCTCCTGGACTAGCTCCAGCCATGCACATGCTGTATACTAATCCTGGTCGTTGGGACTTGCCAGGTAGGGCCCTGGCCAGGCTGGGGCTGGGGGCCGGGGTGGTCAGGATCCAGGTCACAGCATCCCCACCGTGGGCCTGAGGGACAGGGGAGGGAAGAGGCTGGGCTCTGACTTGCCTTTCCTCTGGAAGGAACCAGAGAGGAGGAGGAGGAAGAGGATTATGAGAATTCGGCACCACCGTACAAGGACCTTCCTCCCAAGCCAGGTAAGAAGACTTGGTAGAGGCCTAGTGTTGAGATGTGAGCACAGTCCCCAGAAGGCCTCATATGTACTCAGGCTATGCCAGGCACCATGATGGTGGCGATGCCCATGCCTCCGCCCTATTCCTGAGGATTGCTCAGTCTGATGGGGGAGGCAGTTCTGGGCACAGCCTCAGGTGAGCAGGTCTGACAGGGGAGGAGCCAAGAAAATGGGAGAACCCCAAGGGGAATTGAGGGCTGTGCCTGCAATGGTGGGATTGGGTGGCAGAGGGGATCATTGGAATGGGATTTGAGGGCTGAGTAGGAGTTTGTTAGGAAGCCAAGCCTAGAGGAGAACCAGTAGATGCAAAGTCCCTGAGACACAAAAGCCTGTGTTTCAGAAACTGTGAGAAGACCGCTGGCTCCACATTCACTCCCAGGGTCCAGATTTGCCTTTAGACTTGCATGGTCCGTGCCTGGCCAGGGACTCAACAAGAATATGATAAATGGGTATAAAAGTGGGGGCTTTGAGGTTTCCCTGAGTCAGCTCCCACCAGGGTCCCTGACTGTGCCCCCCTGGCACCCTTGGACAGGGGCCATTCCATGCAGGAAGGTGCTGTGCAGACCCCATTCCTGCATCCAGGCTGGGGCCAGTCTGGGAGGTCCTGGGCACTGGGTGGCTCAGCATGAGGTAGGAGGTAAACTGGACTCTATTGTCTGTGTGTCTCAACTTGGCCTCAACACGATCCTCCAAGTGAGCTCTAGGACTGATCCCAGCCACCCCATCTTTAGGGCCTCCATTTCCAAATCCAGTGCCATCACCAACCCCCAACACAACAACCTTACCTCAACTTCTTTACCATCCCCAAAGGGAGCCATGGCTCTTTCTCCAGGCCAGCCATGTCCTGAGGCACAGTCCTACCCCCATGTCCGTTGCTGTCCCCGATCCAAACCTCAAGTCCATCCCCATCTCCAGACACAACATTGTCTTCAACGTGGGGTGATCAGCTGCCCCAGTTTGCCAGGGATGAGAAGATTTCCTTGGATGTGGGACTTTCAATTTTAAAGTGGTAAAATCCTGGGTAATCCATGATTGCTATTTGACTGTTCCTGTTTTCCCTGTGGCCGCCCCTCGCCCCGGTCCCGCTCTCCCGCCCAGGCCCGTTCCTGATGCTCCGCGACCGTCTCAGTTCCGTTTCTGTCCCTGCCTTCACTCTCATTCCCATCCTCAGACCAAGTCTAACTTTGAGCTTCTCTCCTCCAGGTTGGATGGCTCCACCCAGGCCTCCTAAGGCAGGTGAGCTGGGTCTGGGGGCACAGGTGACCCGGTGGTGGCTTTGTTTTTCTCTGGGTCTTAGCAACCAATCCTCCCTCCTCAGGGAAGAAAACAGAGAACCCCCCACTTCCCTGCAAGACCCCGAAGATCCCAGGTGAGAATCCAGGCCTGGCACCATTCTGTTCACCTGGACGAAGCTCTGCTCTGTGTGATCCTTGTCTTTCTGACCCTTTCCAGGTCTGGACGTCACCCCTGCCACCTGCAGATCTCCACAACAGGGTAAGCAGTGGGGAGACCCTTTAAGAAATATGAGAGGAGAGGACACCTGTCCAGTCCCCCAATTCTGTCCAGAGAAAAAAATCAGAGGGGCTGGGGAGGGAAAACAGGTTTTTAGCAACTTCTGAATAAAACTCTCTTTCTCTGTTTCCCAGGTGCTGCTTTGGAGTATCCCCCATTCCCGCCGTCCGCAGCCAGTAAGTCCTCCAGGTGTGCCTCTCCCTCCCCTCTCATGATGGACAATATATCTGAGTCGGACCTGTAGCTCCAGTGTGAGACCTGGCCCATGAAACCTCTTTCAGAAGCTCCTCCTCCCTGAGTCTAGATGAGATTCCCCGGTTCCCGGGGTGTGCCCAGTGCCTTCCTGCTTGTATAGGATGCAGGGAAGCTTTTGCTGCCCCTGGTGCAAGGGCCCACAGGCTTCCTTGAGTGGGAAGCAGCTTGGCCAGGGGCTGCTGGCGAGCAGGAGACAATGCATCGTAGATGTTAGGAGTGGCTTTGGGTCCATGTCATGCGTGAACTTTCCAGGCCGTTTACTTTGAAAAATTGGAATGATATTTACATCCTTGTCATAAGGGTGAGGACCCAGTGAGACAATAAGGATGTAGTGGGATGCTTGGCACACAGGTTAAGTGCTCTTCGGGGGTCTAGGTGAGGTAGTCATTGTGTTGAGGGATAGTGACGGTGCTGGATTTAGAAATGGAGATGGGGATGTTGGTGAAGATGCCTTTGGAGACAGGGAGGGGGCTAAGTTTGGGCAAAGGGTGGCCATGAAGCACAGTAAGTGCTCTTTGGGGCTCCTTCTGGGTCATCTCTTCCTGACGCTGTCGCTGACCCCGTCTGATGACATGGTCGTGACCACAGCCCACTGTCCCCTTGCTCTTGGAGAAGGCTCAAGGGTCCCGTCTTCACTCTCTGAAGCACCAGTATTGGTCTGTCTGTCCCCATCCCTGCCTCCCAGCAACTCCAGTGCCTTGGCTCAGTCAGAAGGCTGAGGGTCCGGGGTGCTACCAAGAGGAGAGACTGATGGTGTACCTGTGTCTGCTGGTGGTGGTGTCATTGCTCCTGGGCTGCACTGGTCTGGTCGTGAGCCTGATTAAGTGTGAGTAGGAGGAGGATGGGGCTTGTGGAGAGATTGCACCTGGGGCATGGGAAGACCTGGGCTCATGATGCACTCCTCCTCATAGACCAGGAGGTGGTGGAAGAACTGAGGATGCTGACCTTTCAGCAGATGGCATGGCGGGAAAATGGTGAGTGCTTTCAATCATTCCTTCATGCCATGCATGCCCCAGGGTGATCCTCAAACCCGACACCAAGACCACCTTCAAGTCTATCTTTGCCAGGCACTGTGCTAAGTACTTGGGCAGGGGGTGGGTGGTAGGATGTTGAACACATCAGACATACTCTGTGTCCTTGTGAAGTGTGTGTTTGTGTGTGTCTAGGCCTCCGCTATCCAAAACGGTGGGCACGAGCGGCTGTGGCTCCTGAGTGCTTGAATGTGGTCATTCCAAACTGAGATGCGTGGTACATCTAAAGTACGCATCAATTTCAAAGACTTGCTACAAAAAATAATGTAAAATATCTCAACAATAATAATAGTAATAATAATAAACCTCTAGCATAGATTACCCATTGAAATGATATTCTGGATATATTGGAATAAGTAAAAAATAGCATTCAAATTATTTTACCTGTATCTCTTGACTTTTAGAACATGTGGCTAGTAGAAAGTATAAATCACATATATGGATTACATTTTGTTTCTATTGAACAGCACAGGCATAGATAGCCATTTACCAAATTATCACCTAAATAATTAATCATCCAAAGAAAGGAGGGCAATTCTATGAGAAAGCCTAAGAAGAGATCTTGACCTCATCTTTGGGAGACTGATAATGGGATTCCCTAGGGAAATGGTGCTACAGCTGAGTAAGGAAGAGAAGGAATTAACCAGGTTTGGGTGGAGGGTGTTGTCAAGGGTCTCAGGCATGTACAAAGGCCCTGTGGTGGGAGGTAACATCACAAGTACAAGGGAGGAGGATGGTACAGCTGGGGGTGTAAGAGAGGATGGTGGCTTGGATGAGAGCTGTGGCTGTGGGGGTGGAGAGAAGTAGGTGGAGTAGAAAGGTTTAGGAGGGAAGATTGATTAGATTTGGGGATGGATTGGGAATGGTGGTGAGTGACAGGGAAGGATGTCAAGTTGGAAGACGGAAGTTTGCGTGGGAGTGTGGGAATGTACACATTAGTTGTAGAAGAGTCTTCAGGGCTGGAATGGCCTTCACCATGATTGCTGAAATCTGAAAATCGCTCCATTCCACACTCTCGCATTGCACACCTCAGATCAAGCCATTTCTCTGCTCAAAACCCATCAGTGGCTTCTCACTGCCCAAAGTCCAGTACAAAAACCCTTGGCTTGGCATTCAAGAACCTGGACATTGGACCTCATCCTACTTTGAGCTCACGCTCTTGTCAGGTTTCCCTCGACCTCTATTGCTCTATTGCACCACCTTTTCCTGATACACTTGCCTCTGTACCTCTGCCTCCAAGGTGGCCCCTGCCTGCTGCGCCCCACCCCCCTCACAGTTGCTGAATCACCATCTTCCATCAGAACTTACCTCCTCCAGGAAGCTCACCATCCCCACTCTTCCCCAGGCACCAGGGATTAATCCCTCCTCTGAGTCACTTGCTCTAGGGCTTGCTCTGGTCCCTGAGCATGACATTTTTGAGTTCTACTATCACGCACAGAACATAGGTGTGGTGGGGAAACAGCCTTTGTTTCTCTCTGGTGTTTCTGCAGTCAGTGGTGAGTGGGTGGGTAGATGGGGATTTGAGTCTCTAACCCTCTAGTCCACTCCTGTTGACAGTGACTGGCATGGCAGGGCTAGCTGGCCTGAAGAAGGACATTGACCGTGTAAGAGCTGACACCAACCAGTCCCTGGTGGAACTCCGGGGCTTGTTAGGTGAGTGAGACTCGGGGAACTGCCCTAAGATGGGGGGCATAGCAGAGCCGGCACATTGCACAAATCCTGGGAGCAATTCTGTGTAGTCTATGTAAATGGTGCTCCCTGGAGTTGAGCAGTGCACAGCTTGCACAACTGTATGTGGTACACCATGTACATGACCCTGGCTCTGTGGTCACTCTGACAGTATCCTATCCAATCTCCAGACTGTGCCAGGATCACCTGCCCTGAGGGCTGGCTCTCCTTTGAAGGCAAGTGTTACTACTTCTCCCAAAGCCCGAAGTCATGGTATGAAGCCCGGATGTTCTGCCAGGAGAATTACTCTCACTTGGTCATCATCAGTAGCTTTGCTGAGCAGGTGAGATGTCCCCTCCAAGCCCTTGAGAACCCAGGGACATTCTGCTTCTCTTCCAGGGTTCACACAGCCTTCCCTGGCCTAGGTGGAGAGAAATTGGAATTGCTTTTGAGCCACTAAAACTTTTAACAGCAAGGTTAAGAGTCTATGCTTTGCTTGAGTTCAAATCCTGATTGTGTTTACTTGCCCTCTCCAAGTCTCAGTTTTCTAATGTGGAGATACAGTAATGGCTATCTCTTAGGTAACACTTTTTATTCTCCAGGCTGTATTCCAAACATCTTGCATGGATTAACATCATCCTCACAACAGCCTTATGAATCAGTGTGTAAGTCAGGAGAGGTTATGCTATGCTGCAGTAACTCAACAATCCTCACAGCTCAATGGTGAAAGTGGAGCAAGCCATATGCTGATGGCCCGCTTCCATTTATGCGCATTCACAAAGTGGGCCACATGCACACGCCGATGCCTCCCAGTGGCCGGGAAATACAGTTTAGCTGTGTGTGCCGAGAAGAGGTGGAGTATGTAGAAATGTTGAGGCCTACTGAGGTGTACTGGGAATTTACAAAACACAGACAACAAAGACAGACAGACAATGGCTGCAGCAGCCCCCATGTGGTGCAGCGCTTTTATTTTTGTACTGCCTTTCTCAGACCTCAGCCAAGTGCTGTCCATCTTTCCCTACTCAGGGGGGACAGGCCAGAATATTCTGTTGATTTTCTTAGAATCTGCCCAGTAAGCAGGGGTGGTGTTTTCACGCATCCCCAAGGCCGTCCTGTTTGCAGAGTAAGGCATCTTGGCTCGTCTTCGAGGACAAGATAAGCTTTTGTGGGCAGTTAACTTCCAAGGACGGCACCAGTTGCTCTCCAGCAGGTGCTTCCCCATGCTGCGTTCAGACATGGGGGAAGACAAAGGCCGTCCCCTACAGGAAACAACTTTAATGACTTACTACTACTCTAGTTAGGTAGTAATACCATTTGTACATAGTACATTACATACCAGTACTTCATAGATGAGTAAAGCCCAGTTCACTTAAGCAACTTGCCTGTGATCTCTTACAACGAGTGTCAGAGCTGGGCTTTGAGCCCAGGTAGCTTGGTTTCTAAGTCCAGCTAAACTGGTCAAGCTACCAGTTCTTGACCATAAACCTCATAGCATATAAATTTTTTTCTGATGCAATGAATTTCTTTTCTGCCTGGATGCAGAGGAGGCCTGCAGGGTGGGACAGACATACCAGGGAAGCAAAAGCATCAGTTGTTGTTAAATGTTTCTTAATTGTTGTCACGTTCAATGTTAAGATGTTGCAGGAACTTATTGCCGGGCACTGTTCTGAGCGCTTTATACATATTAACTCAGTCCTCAGAAGAAACCCATGAGGAGGTGGCTACTATTATCATTCCATTTTACAGATGAGGAAACTGAGGCGCAGGGTGGCTCACAGGTCCTGCAAGAAAGTAACCTGATTATTTCTACTGCCCATGCTCAAGTGGAAGGGAAGTGTGTTCCTGCTTTGCACACCGCGGGAACTGGGAGGGGCCTTGGGGATGGCATTCCTAAGCTCCAAGTGTGTGTGGGACAAGGCCGAGGGCAACCTTCACCCTGAGGATTGTGTAAAAGGAGTGATGGCTGCATGGGGTTTGTATTTGCAGAACTTTGTGGCCAAAGCTCACGGCTCTCCGCGGGTGTACTGGCTGGGGCTGAGTGACATTAACCGCGAAGGAGACTGGAGGTGGCTGGACGGGTCGCCTGTCACTTTGAGGCAAGTATGCAGGGCTTTGGGGGTCTCTGCTCCTTGTCATTCCTTGTGCCATCCAAGCCAGAGGGTTCCCTAGAATCTCAGGCTGCGCTGGACAGAGGAGACATGAAAGTGCTTTTTTTCTGTTAAGGCTTCCAGTCCCTGTACTTCTTAAATTTTCCTCCATCACAACATGTCCACCTTTTAGGGCAACTGCTCAAATATATCAAGTGCCCAGACCAATGGTTGGGGGGAAAAAAAAGAAAGGAGAGACTGCTTTAGGGTGGGAGGAAGAGGAGTGTTTTGATTTGCCGAAAGGATGAGCAGGATCTCATGTTTTCTTTTTCACTCTGCGTATATTAACCCGTTTATTTCATCCTGTTAATAATTCTATAAAGAAATTATGACCTCCATTTTAAAGATGAGGAAACGGAGGCTCTGACTGGTTAAGCACCTGCCTCAAGTCAGATAGCTAGCAGGTAGCAGTGCCAACCAATTTCAAAGTCCATACTCTTAGCCATTATACTTTACTTTCTTCAAGAGTGTATGTATTTGTACTTTAAAGAAATATTAACAAATTGTCCCCACCCTGGTTATACCAATTTATTCCTTCAGTTTGACTTTTTTTTTCCACATGTTCATCAAACTTTTGGAATTTCGTTGGTTTAGTTATAGGTGAAAAATGGAATCCCAATGTAACATTAATTTGCATTTCTCTTATAATGACTGATGTTGGGTATCTTCTCATATGCTTAATAGCCATATGCATTAAAATTTCTGTGAATTATCTGCTCGTATCATTGGGGTATTTTAATGTTGGGATTTTGGTCTTTTTTCTTATTGATATCTAGGAGCTCTTTATATATTACAGATATTACTGCTTTGTCGGGAAAAATCTTTTTTTTTTTTACCAAAGATTACTGAATGGACACGTGTCTCTGTCAGTAGAGAAAGCATGGGATGGTGTGGCACCAGGAGGCCCAGATCAGATTGTTTCACAGGGCTGGGGCGGCCATCCCCAAAAGGGGGCTTTGGCTGCTAATGATGGGTCGCAGTTATATTTTCTCCAGAGAGTTGTCCTCAGCTGAATGGAAGCTGTTCACCTAGGAGGCTGCCCTACTTCCACTGGGGTCAGTCCACACCCAGTGACTGGCTAAGAGAAGCCTGGACCCCTTGCGTCAAGTTGGAATAACTCTGGAGTGCTATTCGTGCTCCAGAGCTCCCTGTGGGGTCAGGCCGAGGCCACATACGGCTGCGCCCACACCCTTGCTCAGCTCCTCCCCTTGCCCCATTCTTCTGCTTCTTCTCCTCTTCTTAATAAATCCCATGTACCTGAATCACCAAATCAGGCTCTGCTTTAAAGGAAAGTGAGGTTTGGGAGGATGATGGGTGTGAAGGAAGGGTTTTTTGGAAGATGACACTGAAACTCACCAGATACAGGAAACTGATTCAGAATCAGGGAGACTGAGCCGGTGAACAGAGAGGTAGGACTGAGTCAGGACAGACAAACTGGAGTGGAAGGGATGATGCATCATGTTCCAGTAATTCTGAGAGGATGGAAAAATAGTTGGATGGAAGGAAGGGCCCTGAACCATGAGTTTTAGGTTTATGGAAAAACTGAGCAGAAGGCACTGAGAAATATTTCCGATATTTCTTCTCTCCCATACACAGTTTCCTGTATTATTAATGTCTTGCATTAGTGTGGCACGTTTGCTACAATTGATGAACCAATATGGATACATTATTATGAGCTGAGGTCCCACAGTTTGCATTGGGGTCCACTCTTTGTGTTGTATGTGCTGTGGGTCTTGACAAATGCATGATGTCACGTGTCCACCACCGCAGTATCATATAGAATAGCCATTCCACTCCCCTGAAAAATTCCTTGTGCTCCATCTAATTCATTCTTTCCCACACCCACTTTTTCCTCCACCCAGCTTTTGGGGCCCAGAGGAACCCAATAACATCCAAGATGAGGACTGTGCCAGCATGGACAAAGGTGGCACCTGGAATGACCTCTCCTGTGACAAAACTACGTACTGGATCTGTGAGCGGAAATGTTCCTGCTAAGTCCCAGGGCTGAGGCTGGGCATGGGGTCTGCACCCGAGTGCCCCTTGGTTCTTGGGAATGAGAGCCTCCTGTTCTTCATGGAATTCCCTGCCTCTCCATGAACTGACATGGATGTGCCCAAGCTGAAACCAGCAGCCTGGATGAAGCAAGTTCCCTGGGGTGTAAGCCAGACCCTTTCGAGGGTGAAGACGTGGGGACTTGTTCAGCTGGATGGTATCTCAGTCTGTGGACGCCGCTGTAACAGTATACTGCAGACTGAGTGCTTCTGAACCACAGAACTTCACTTCTCAAATTTCTGGAAGGTGGGAAGTCCAAGATAAAGGTGCAGAGAGATTCTGAGTTTGGTGAGAGCCTGCTTTCTGGTTCATAGACACCATATTCTCACTGAGTCCTCACAGGGTGGAAGAGGGGACAGCTCTCTGGGGTCTCTTTTATACGGGGACTAATCTCATTTATGAGGGCCTCACGTTCATGACCTAATTACCCCCCAAAGTCCTCACTTTCTACTACCGTCATACTGAGGGCTAGGATTTATCATTTGAATTTTGGAGGGACACACATTCAGTCGAGAGCAAATGGTGAGCTGGAGGGACCCCTGGTCTTAGGGAAGGTGTCCAGTTCTGGGATCTGGAGGAAACTCACCAAGTCCCTGATCACGGCTCTTAGGAAGCAACGCTGGTCCTGGGGGCTCTGCGTGTTAACACTGATTGAGCTGAAGCTGAAAATACCCCAGTCTCCTCTGAATCATGACGCATTGTGACGGGGCTCCTTTACTGCCTACCTGAGGTGGACCAGCAGGGGGAGCAGGGAGGTGCAACTCAGCAACTTCCTCAAAGTCCCGGGTGAGATTTGCCCAGGCTAGGGGATGGAATCAGATGCCTGCCAAGATGTGTGGCCTGTGCAAAATCTGGAAGGGGAGACCAGTTGAAAGGCAAGGCTCCCCACACAGGCCAGACCATGACTTGGTCAGAACCTGAGGACAACAATGGAGATATCTATCAGCATGTGCCTCTGGGCTATTTGTGGTCTATGAAGATCTTCGGTGAAGTGATTCATGTTCTTTCCAAACAGACCTTTTTGAGGCATTAGCTCTTGCAATGTAAGAGCTTCTCAAAATGCCAGCTCCCTGTGTGGTTCTTGCCCACTGTGTTTTCTGGAACTGCTCTAATAAAGCGCCAGAGACTGGCTTAAACAAGAGAAATGGATTGTCTCACAGTTCTGAAGGCTGAAGTCCAAGATGAAGGGGTCAGTGTGGCTGGTTTCTGGCGAGACATGTCTCCTCTCCGGTGTCCTCCTGTGATCTTCCCTGCGTGTGTGTCTTAATCTCTTCTTTTAAGGATACCGGTCATACTGGATCAGGGCTCACCCTAAGGACCTCATTTTAACTTAATCACCTCTTTCAAGGCCCTGTCTCCAAATAGAGTCACATTCTGAGGTTCTGGGTGTTAGGGTTTCAACGTTTGAATTTTGGCAGTGGGTGGGGGTGGAGGCGGGGACACAGTTCAGCCTGTAACACTCACTAAATGCCAGAGGTGCCCATCCCAGCCACGGTGAGGACCAAAGCACCCCCTAGAGGGCTGGTACTACCCCCAGCTGAACACAACTCAACACAGTGATCCCTTCGGACAATCCCTGAATTGGATCCAGGGGCGAGAAGACGTTCGCCAAATCGAGCAGTGCATTGATCTGCAAGTGCCCTTGTCTAGTGGAATCCTTCCTGTTTTGACTGAGAGTAGCTGATTATGTTGAGGAGGCTCTGAACCAGGGGGTAAGGGGTGCCTGGTGTCCATGTCACTGTCTGTTGCCCTCTGTACTTGTCTCTTCCCACCCCCACCCCTGCCCCCAACTCAGCAGTACTGAAACTAGATGCCCGTACTACCCACAGACTGCGGAGTGGGCAGACATCCTGTTCTCGGCTCTGCCCAGGGGGCCACTGGTCCACGCAACTGTTTATCTGGGGTCAAGGGAAGTTCCCCCATCTCAGAAGAGGAAACTTAAGAGTTTCCTCTAATATGTGTGTTGAGAAACGGGGAAGCAGGGGGCTGTGGTCATGTCTCTGAGTCATGTTGGGGGTCCAAACCTACTTCCCCTGCACATCGCTCATGATTGTCTAATTTCAGGTAGAAAGACACATGTTAATTACCACTTTGGGTCCAGGGAAGCAAAGCGCATTCTTGGTGGATAAAAATAACAAAAGCCAACGTTTCTCAAGCATGTATTGTGCTCTTGATAGACGCAGTAGCTGTCACTGAGTCTTCATGATAACTCGGTGAGGCTGGGATAATTACCAACTCCATTTTATAGCTCAGAAAACTGAGGCCCAGAGGGGTCTCATAGCCTGTCCATTGTCATTTAGTGAATACACGGCAGGGCTGGTATTTGGACTCATTCTGTGCTTCCAATTGTTGATTTTTTTTTTTTCCTGAGGGACTGTCTGTGAACTTGAATCATCCCTAAGGCCTCAAGCTTGCGGCTCTTGCCTCGGCTAGCAGTTATGGGAAAGGAATAGCGCCGTGTGCTGACCAGATGCGCTGGGCTGAGAGAGACCTGGGGTCGGGCTCTGGGCCTGCTGATGGCGATCTGTGGGGCTCTCCTGGGGCTACTCTCATAACTCAAGTGACAGGTACTGGGGACCAGGTTGTCAACTGTGAAGGCAGGAAGAACTCTGGTTCTATTTTGAAGATCCGGCTAATAGCATTTGCGGATGGATTGGATGTGGAGTGTGGGACAAAGGGAAGAGTACAGAATGACTCTAAGCTTTCCAGCTTAAGCGGTAGGAAAGACGGAGTTATTACTTAGAGATGGGGAAGAAAAAAAAAATGCTTATGAGCACAACCCGTTTAAATTCAGGTGGTTCATGAACTTTTGCCAAAGTTCTTAGAACTTCCCGTGGGTCAAGAGTGGAGTCGTGTGTTGCAGATGTGGACACGCCCCAGTTACATCCTTGATCCTCATATTTTCAGTGACTTCCAATGGCCAGTAGTTGCCACCAGCGCCCACCTGGCCTGACACATGACAGGTGAGAAGTGCCAGGGAAAGGCTTCCTGGAATAGGCCTTAGGCAAAGCCTGGACCTGGGTGTACACATACCCAGCTCCCTCACCCCGGTGACTCTGAGATTTGGGTCCCAGGTGATGCCCAGGGGGTCCTTGCAGAGCTTAAGCTCCCATGGCACACAGCTGGAGTCTGCTTGATAACACATCTTTGAACACATCTGGTACTGGCCATCTTTCCTTCCTTGTCTCACTTCTTTGCACCCCTGCTGGCGTTTCCTGGGATCACCTCCAAAATAAACAACTTCCACTCAAATCCTTGTCTCAGAACTTGCTTTGTGGGGGGAACCTAAACTCGGAAACAGGAGACATGAGCTTGTGACGTCAGCTCTGGTTTGCCTGGGGTCGAGGGATTCCTGGGACGTGGGCCTTTCAGTGCCAAAGCTGGGAAAGCCCTGGGCCAACAGGGATGAGCTGACGAACTGTACCGGAGGACAGTGTGGTATCAGGGCAGCCAAAGAGAAGGGCACGCTTCAAGAAGAAAAGGGGATGATGCACATGGAGATTGAATCACCAGGTTTTACACCTTAAATGCAGTATATATAATTTTTATCTGTCAATCATACCTCAATAGAGCTGTAAAAATAAAAGTACTTGACTATAAAAAAAAGAAGAAAAGGGGGACAAGCAGAGTCCAATGTGACCCAAAGGTCAAGTTAGAAAAGATCAAGAAGCGTCCAATGGCCATAGCTCCAAGGGAGCGTTTGGGGCCTTGAGCTGGTGCTGGGGGTGCTGGAGACAGAAGGAGACTTGAGGGTTTGAGCAGAGAGGGGTGGGAGGAGGTGGGGACAACAGAGTAGGCACAGCTTTTCTAGAAATCTGGCTGTGAAGAAAAAAGAGAGAAACAGAGTGGTTGTTTCAGCAGGGAGGATTTTTTTGGGTGGAAGAGACCTGAATGTGCTCCCTGCCTGCTCGGACCCGATCCGCTATGATTCCCGCATTAGATCTCCTGAGTCTCCCACGCTGATTTTGTTTTTCCTTTGCTATTTTCATCTTTTGGCATTTCGCTCTGTGCTTTGAGATATTCCCTCCACGTGGTCTTCCAAGTCACTCATTTCGCTCTTCAACAGCGATCACCTTCTTCTTTCAAGTCATCCAGAAAATTTTCTTTTTGTTTATTTCCTTTTCATTTAGCCCCATAGAGTATTTTACTGCTGGAGCTGAATGCACTTTACTTTCTTATTTTTATTATTCTCATTTTAAGCTGTCCGTCTATTCCAATATCTCTGTTTTGCTGGGTGTGGATCATGTTGGATCATCTTCTCATAGGTTGTCATTTGTCTCTGGGGCTCAGATCTGGTGGCTGAGAATGCTAAACACCGACAGTTTCCTAAGTGATGGAAGGAGACAGATTCTCCACCCGGGGTGGGGGCGGGGTCCATGTGTGCACCAGGCAGGCATACAGAGGCACCTCCTTGCTCCCCAATCTCCTTGCTTCCTCCTGGACTCAGGAAGAGTGCTCCACTTGGCGTTCCTGGCAGCCAGAGGGATCAGACACACATACAAGGGTGACCCTGACCTGTCCCAGGAGACCCACGGACCTGTGGGGTCCAGACTCCTCCTACCATGTACCTGGTCTGGTCTTCAACCCAGAGCCCTCTTCAGCTTATTTTGAGACTCTCCACTGTGCATGGGGGAGACATTTCAACCCCCGATTTCCCTTAGGGGATTTCCCCAGAGATACCGGTCTTACTGCTCCCAGCCAGCATGAGGCCCAGCAGACTTCAAAGAGGCAGATAGATTATGGTAAGTAAGGAGTGGGGGGGAATTGAGTCACAGCACAAGTGACTGTTTTCCAGTCTCTTCCCTTCCTTTAGCACAGGGGCCAGCCTATTGTAACTTGATGAGCTGAATCCTGTGTGCAGCCTGCTTTTTATGGCCAGTGAGCTAGGCATGTGTTTTTATATTTATAAAAGGATATACACATTTACCTTTTACTCATATATTACATATATTATGTGTGTAGATCTACATATATGATAATCTATAACTATACATTGCCTAAAATGTCTGACATATTTATTATTTGACCCTTAATAAAGAAAGTTTGCTGACCTCTCTTTAACATGTTTAAATGCCACTGGGGAACAGCCAGGAGAGAGGATAGGAGGGAGGTGGAAGACTCAGGAGAGAGAGGAGATAATCAATGGAGAACAGCCCCCAAGGAGCAGGATGGATGCGCAAACACACAGGGAGGCGTGAGCCTTCATCGGGACGAGGGACCCCTTTGCTGCAGTGGAAGGACGGGGAAGGGGGCAAAGGGCATTGGGAGGGAAGGAAGCAAGAGTGCGGATGGATGTGGAGGTATGTGTAAGGGGTGTCAGAGCTGGGCCGTTTCCACCAGCTGGTGTTTGCTGTCTCTGTGAAGCAGTAGGTGAGGTCTTCTGCCTTCTGTGAATGGAAACACGATGAGGATCGAGAAAGGAAGTGAAGAAAACAGAACTCTCCGTGGGGGGAAGTTGACTGGAGGTAGGTAGATGAGTTCCAGGAGGCATGGAGAGTCCTTTTTAGGGCACAAAGCAAACATCTGTAGTGGTTGCAAGCTAAGTGATTCTGGGATCTTACTGCCTTGATGGAGGGGGGAAGAGACATGGTTGGTTCGTAAGAAAGGAGGCTTTGGGCTGCAGGTAACAGACGACCTTCCCAACACGGGCTTATTTGTGTTACATAGGAAGAAGCCCAAGGGTCGTTGCAGCGACTCAACGTCACAAAAGCCCAGATTACCTCTATCTTCCCCCTCTTCCACCTTTAGTATTTCCATGATATCTTCTCTCCAAATATCACATTATTGTTTGATAACTGCCCCAAGCCATGAAGTCATGGCAAGCTCTCCATGGACTTGTCTTTGTGTTTTGTCAAGGAGAAAAAGTATTTTCCAATAAATGTATCATATCTCACTGGCTAGAACTGGTTTACATGTCCACCGTCATCCAATCTCCAGCAAATAGGAATAAGATCACCATGGTGAGTTGAGACAAAGGTTTCTCAGCTCAGTATTATTGACATGTGGGGATGGGTACTTCTTTGTTGTGGGACTGTGGGGGCTGCCTCGTGCCCCCACATGTATTGTAGGGTGTTTGGCAACATCTATGGCCTCTATCACGTGGATGCTAGCTGCATCTTCCTTTGCCCTAGTCACGACAACAGAAATGTCTCCAGACATTGCCAAATGTCCCTAGTGGTGTTGAACAATCACCTCCAGGTGAGAACCGCTGGGCATAAATCAATCTCAACAGAACTCGCCCCCGACCCAGGTCCAGGCACACTGCTGTCCCAAATCTGAAAAAACCATAGAGGTCCTGTTACTAAGGAACATGAGTTTGTGGCGACAGCAGCTGAGCCGACAATCCACAGCCCGCTGTCGTTGGTTCCGTCCTGGATTGAGGTTTTCTCCAGTAGGTTTGGAATCTGAATGGGGAAACAAAGGTGTCTAAAGTCTAGGAAAGAATTGATTGACTTGGTTGGTCCTGCGATTTAGCCTGGATAAGAGAGGAGGTAAGGCTGGTGCTTTGGGAGAAGCTGATGACTTGGGGGGCTGGATGAGGGCAAGTTCAGGAGCAGTGAGAGTCAGAACTTGGAGAAAGGCTTTCTCATTTACAAAAGGTCAAGGGAGAATTTGGAATGGTCATCATTCAGGTATCTGGGGTCAAGCACTGGCTGAGGACATCACAGCGGAGAGAAACCTAATTCAGCACACATTTATTGAGAGCCCGTGAAGCAGCACCAACACTTCGTGGAGTAAAGGTGAGACATTTCCTCTCCAGGGGTGACACGGATAACGATCCCCTTGTCCCCAGCTTCACTCCTCATGACGCAACCAGAGCTAAGTGTAGGACTTCCCACGTGGAGCTGACTATTCAAGGGTTCATATTTCCTCCTCACTTGACCTGAAAAAAACGTCCCCCCACAAAACAGGTTTAGAGTAAAGGCAGATGTAAGGGTAAAATCAACCAAACACAACAATAAAACAGAGAGAGTGAGCAGGACTGGATTAAAGCCAGAAAGCTCCCTCCAGCAGGAAAGGGTGGCACAATCTCCTAGCGTTTTGGAATCCTAGGACAGGCGTGACCACCTTCTGCTTAGGATTTCTCAAACATCCCAGGTGAAGATTTTTTTGGAAAAATTTCAGACACAGTAGCCTGCTCCAAAATTTCAGCCCCCTGGATGTTGGTTTGTCTATGAAGAAAGGCTAGACTTTAAGATTCAAGAGGGCAGAGACTGTGTGGCTCTTGTTCCTTTTGCACGCCCACTGGCCTACGCTAGTGTCCTGACACATTGCAGAACTCAACACATATTCTATTCTCTTTGCTGCCTACATGTTACAGTTTGGTTTGAAAGCCCCAAGTTCCCTAGTGGAACCAGTATCTCCTTAGCAGCCCATTAGGATAGTGGCTCTTGACTTTAGTTCTGAGGCACTGTATGCAGAAAGCCGAAACTATGTCTTCCCTCCTAGTACTCAGGTTCCTTCACAGAACTCCCTCTCCGCTCAGGCGCGACCTTCCCCATAAACAGTATTGCCTGGTTACATAGCCAGCCTTCCAATGTTTGCAGATTTCTAGGGGACAGAGCCAGAGAGTTAACTCAAGATCCAATTTCTCTCTAGAGAAAGAGAAAGGATTTTATTAGCATTTGACTCATACCTTGTGCCTAGAAAAATTAAAGTTTAAGAGATTCCTGTAATTAAAGCTAATGTATTTCTTAAAGGGAGCTCATGATATATATATTCCCCTTTCAAAGACACACTCATTCGATTTCCACAAGGTTAAGTAATAATAATAAAGAAAAGTTTCCTTATGCACCGTGCGAAGCCAGTTACTGGAGTGCTGGCAGTTCTGGGAGTTATTTTGGATTATCTGGGAAGCTTTTCAAAGGTCAACAGCAGTCAGCATCTGTTGCAATTTTACTCTTATTGGGAATGATAAAGCCTAATATTCATAATTGTTTTTCTGATATCACCTGCCATGCCCTACAACTCTTTTCCTGGGTCTATTTTCCTCTTGGTCCTTTTGGAAAGATTCACAATGAATTCCCCTTCCCTCACTCCAATAAGGGAAAGATGTTTCTTCTATACTGACCCCTGTATTTCCACTGCTAAGAAAATCACATATTATCTCAAGAAATGGAGAAGACAGCGTATCAGAAACCTCTCAATTTAGTCTAAAAGTAATATATTCTAAGGCTCTTTGGCAGCAGATGTGGTGGGTGTGTACATGGGAGGATAAGGCCAAATGAGACAGGAGGGATGTTGTGGATTCTGAGCCTTGGAGCCCATATACCTTCTCAGAAGCATGTTCTCTCATTTCTCCACAAAGGGCGAGTAAAGGGACAACTACGGAGACAAGTCTCAGGTAGGGCTAGAAGCCCATTCCTCGGTGCACCAAGTCTGGGTTCACTCAGTGGAAGGCGGATGCATAGCAGCAACCAATTCCAGAGACGTCCTTGTTCTAACGACCATTTGCTTCCCCCAAACATCTCATTATCCTGGGAAATCCTCCCTCACGGTTAGGCAGAGCAGCTGAGTGAAGGAGTCCCTTTCCTGGAGCCCCTTTCGTGGTGTCCTCGAACTCCGCTGGACTCGTGTCCACCTCTCTATGGGATAGTAGGACATTGGGAGCTGTGTCTAAGATCATAAGCCTCCTCCAAAACGATCCTATTTTATTTTATGTTTTTAATTAAGGTATCACTGATACACAATCTTACGAAGGTTTCACATGAGCAACACTGTAGTTGCAACATTCACCCATATTAAAAAGACTTTTAAATGGCAGTGGTGCTGTGTGACGTGCGGCATGTGTTACCCATATGTCTTTGCATGGCAAGAATGTGTACAGCTGGCTTAAGCACTGCTAGTGAGCAGGGAAACACCACTGAGAAATAATATAGTAAGAATGAAGAATGCAAGCCAGGCCATCAGGAAAAGAACCCTTCCCTATACCCTCCACGAAAAGGGGCTTAGAGTAAAACAAACAGAGGAAGTTAGGGGTGTCACGGGGTAAAACAGCAGAATAAGTCATAAGTCTTCTTACCTCACTGGGTTTTGAGTCAGGGCCAAGCCTGCTGGAAAGTGTGTGAGTCTCTGGCTCAGATTTAGATTTCATGATCTCTCCAAACCACTTTCGGACCTGAAACATCAAAGGAAATACCAGGCTGGTTTTTGTTTGCACTGGCAAAGAGAAAACCCGGTGAGAAAACCCAGTGAGTCACGGAGAAGATAGAGATGTTATGAAAAAACTTCTCCTACAACATGTGGTATATATGTGCAATGGACTATCATTTAGCCTTAAATAGGAAGGAAATTCTGGCATCTGCTACAACATGGATGAATCTTGAGGACTTAATGCTGAGTGGATGCAGCAGACACAAAAAGACAGATATTGTAGTATGTGAGAGCCCTGTAATAGTTAAATCAACTGAGACAGAGAGGAGAGGAGAAGTTAC